GAGGAACTGTTGTACAGCGTAAACGTAGAGAGCTGCACCGATACACGGGTCGGACAGCAGTGCCGCAGCTCCGGGGTCCTGCGCTGCATGACGAAGGGGGAATTCCCAGGTGGGTAATGGGTAACTGGGACGAACATGTGATCGTTTCGTGACTTGCGTGCATGGCGACCTCTAGATCTAACAAGTTTAGCGCCGCGACACCGGGCCCATCCCCTTGGGGCAGATTGGTGTCAGGGTTCAACTATGACTGCCTAACGAGCGAGTTTAGTGATGGGGAAAAGGGAAAAGGAACAGGCAAAAAAAAAAAAAAAAAAAAACGCCAGGCGGATCCTAAGTGATCGACGGGATCTGTCGACTATTGATGTTTAGCTTCTCTTGGCTGCTGCCATGCGCCCTCGACACCCTCAAACGGGTCTAGTGAAGAGCGCCCATACCAGACACGGGGTGCTTTGACAGATTTCGGACACTTCCTTTGCCTTGCTTTGCTTCAAGACTCAATAGTGTCCTTATTTCTGCGAGATTGGCGACATCATAGCCTCTCCTAGGCCCCGTCATCCTTGTCGATCTTCGTGTTTCCAAGACCCAAGTCCTAAGACCCGACAAGCCGGACTCCTATTCTCCCCGGCATCTCGAAACACAATGCTGCATGATCACCATCTGTATACAGAACAGCCGTGACCCACAACCTTCTTACTTCACGGGGGCGTCATAGTGGACATGATTACCATTGCAGGACTCCACGGTGGTGGGATCAGACATAGCACTAATGCAGGAACTGTCCAGGGCGTATCACAGCGGCCTGTGCTGCGTGTATGTTCGTTCTGCAGTGGAAACTTACCCTGCATGTGTGTTTAGGTCATTACCACGGATGGTTCCCGTTCCTCCGCACGCACAACCATGGAACGGCAAGTGTTTACTCGAGAACTGTTGAACTGCTACCGTTACCGTTACCGTACAGACCCCGAGTGCTTTCCCTTTGTGGAGAGCGACCTCAAACAGCGGTTCATCGTACTAAGACTGATTCGGGAAGGCTCCCTTTTTTTTTTTTTTTTCGGCCTCTCTACTAAATTACTCTATCGAAGCCATAGCCACACAATTCCCGGGGATTAGGGACGGTAGCAGTCCCCGGGAAGCAGGTCGGATCGGAATATGTTCCCCGATCTAAACTTGGATTACTTTTAGGGGGGGGATTGATTCTGTGTAAATCTGGGCAATCTCCCATACGACACACAAGCCGCCACCCCCTAGAACCGCGCGGGCGGGTAGCGCAGCTTCGAGTGGAGAGATTCACGCTGGTTTTCAGCCCGTTTCCACTGACGATCAGATCTCACCCGAGCACCCCGGCAAAATCCCCCGTCTGCGCCTTTACGCTCTAGCCTCGCTTTAAGAAAATTACAACTCATAATAATAATAATAATTATTATTATTATTATTATTATTATTATTATTGTTATTCTTATTATTATATTAAATCTAAAAAAAGTCTAAAATTACCTGAATACCGAGTACCAGGTACCGATACACGTCGTGAAGTCCAAAGATTACACCCTCGATCTCCCCAATCACCGCCTGCCGCCCCGTTACCGCCCTTTACCCCCCGACTCTTTCTCCTCCTCATCTCACTCTTTCTTCACTTGTCGCTCTCTTTTCTTTTTTTCAGCTTTGGTTAGCTATTAGCCCCCGTCTCTCCTTAAACACCGGGCGTTGTATGCCTCGAGTCTCTTTTTCTTTTTCCCTGTCACTCCTTCTAGGGTCCCACCGCCACTCGCAGCCCCGATCACACTCCGCGCTCTCTATGATATAGCCTTGTTTTCTCACTACTGCCCTCCTCGTGCAGCGATCTCTTTCATTTCACCACTCGTCTCCTTAACTCCCTCTCTTCCTCTCTCCTCGATACTCCCGCAGCCATGAGCTACATCCATCCCTCATGGAACTACCCTCCGCACACAGGTCTACCAATGGACCACACCATGGCCTACGACCCATCCATGATGCCTCCGCCAATGATGCATCACCACATGGACGGATACATGTACCCCCATCCCCCCATGGAGATGGTTGACTACTACCACCAACCTATAATGGACTACGACGAATACACAGAGAACTTGTCGCGTCCGCGATTGACCAAAGAGCAAGTTGAGACCTTGGAAGCTCAGTTCCAGGCCCACCCCAAGCCCAGCAGTAATACCAAGCGTCAATTGGCCGCTCAGACGAATTTGAGCCTGCCTCGCGTTGCCGTACGTACTTCGATCCTCTACTTTAATGTGACGTACCACTAACTTCGTCAATAGAACTGGTTCCAAAATCGACGCGCCAAGGCCAAGCAGCAGAAGCGCCAGGAGGAATTCGAGAAAATGCAGAAAGCCAAGACCGAGGCTGAGGAAGCTGCTCGCCAAAAGTCCGAGACACTGGATCAGATGTCCGAGTCGCGCCAACGTTCTGCCTCAAAAGAAGAGTCCGATCAAGCTCCTACACCTAAACCAGCTCCCGTTTCTAAATCAGAAAGCAAGTCGGCGATTGAAGCATCCCCTAACAAGCAGCATAAGAAGACAAAGAGTGAGTCGGCCCGTGAGGCAACCTTTTTGTCTCTACAAAGGGCACTCAATGCTGCATGCGCTGCTCGCGATCGGTTTACGGGCCGGGACTCAAAGGCTAAGCGTGATGCTAAGCGGGATGTTCTGCAGGAGGCACCTCAAGAGGAAGAAGAGGAATCTGTCTCTCCCACTTCGATGGCACCGCCCAGTGCCGCCCTCAGGAATCACGACAACAAGGGACATGCCTACCAGAACTGGCCCGACATCAAGGAGGAGTCGGCTTCGTGGTCTCATGGCCACACGGACGCCTACCCGGCGACAAGCCAAGCGATTCATGAGATGCCGAACGTTTCACACTCCATGCAACATTCTGTGGACGCATACTCAGGAGCTCAATTCCATGCCCAGACCGAGGAATGGGCCGAAAGCTCCAAGAACCAGCTCTCTGTGCCTGGCATGGGACACGAGGGTCTCGGTTACAACAACATGCAGTACTCCATGTCCATGCCAACTCCCGAGATTTCACTGTCTCGGCGGGAGTCGGCTGATGCCTTGGCCAATTCTTTGAATGGTATTGGCATCTGCAACGCCGAGGCCGGATTCTCGCAGTCTCAGAATCGAGTGAATGGCTCATGGAAGGAAGCGGGCAAGGAACTTGATCTTGCCGCGAGGCGAAAGCGTCCTCGCCCCGCTGCCATCGGCACCTCCAGCACTCGCTCGTTGGCTAACTCAACTTCCATGTCCTCTCTTTCGCCCACCGGCCGCATGCCCAGCGGTTCTGGCAACTTCATGCGTCAGTCAAAGTCAACCCAGAGTCTCAACTCTCGATATGCTGGTGTCAGAAAGGCATCCGCCGCCCAACGCTCTCCGCTGAATTTTACATTTGCCGAATCTGGCTCCATGAAGGCCAGCAAGGCTGATATGCTGCGGCCGTCGGTCTCGCAATCCACTCTCGCACCGCCGACCCCTTTGACACCGCAGGATTTCCAGCATTTCATGCCTGCGTCGCCCACTGAGAGCAACTACTGCGTGTCAGCGCATTCCACAACTCACTTTTTCCCTTCCTCGCAACCCATGCAAGTAAACATCGCATCGCCTCCTGCCACACCTCTTGACATCTACTCCCCCTTCCCCTACCAGAATGTCGCCCCACCCATGTCGGCTCCGGCTCAGATCGCCAACTTTCCCGAGTACGTGACCTGTGACCAGGGTCCCATGACGGCTAGGAGTTGGCAGGACACCCATTCTCTTTCCTCGCCCGAATATCCTAGCGGTCTTCAGGTGCCTCACTCAAGTACCGTGTCTCCCGTTGCATACGATGCCGGGGTCGAGCACCAAGGAAATGCTTTTGGGATTGATGCTGTATCCGGCTCACCAACCTTGATCTACTCGATCGAGGACACCGACATGGCCGGCTCTGCAGATGCTAATGAGAGGAAGGCGACCGAGTTTATGATGCACGAGTTCCCTGGGCAGTCGATGCACGGGGGGCAGAAGCCCAAGGCTTTCACGTTTGCGAACAACACGACGCCGAGCAACTATCCTCCTTGAGGATCTTGCCTCTCCCATCTCGATGGATTAAATGAGAAATGTGCCGCGATAAACATGCTTTTGTTGGTCTGGGACGAACCGCTACGCATCTTCTCGTCTCGTGTGAATTTTGTTTCTTGTCTGTTTTTTCGACCGCTCACGAGTGGCCTGTCTATTCCCAACACTCCGTGCGCGGAGAGCAACTGTCATTTTGAAGATTTCTTACATATTCTGTCTCTTCTGTCTCTTTATTTGGTGTGGTTCCACTTGGGTTCTTACATATTCGGAGCATTCTTTGCATTGTGTTTATTGGCCTGGGATTGATTACATTGGGGTGTCCGCTACCTATTAATTCTACCGAGCTCTGCTCGAGACTTGTGTTTTTTTTTTCTCTTCTCTTCTATATTGTTTGGTGACGGACTCGGGTTTGGATGGAATTTGGACTTGCATATTTGGCAGCATTCGGCTATCTTTTTACATACTGTTACTATCAGGTACTTATTGAGTACATTGTTTCTGTCTCATAATACAAAAAGGGGCGATGTCTACAGTTGAACGTGAACTTGAACTTGGTAAGTGTCCTCAGTAAACAATCTCCGCTATTGCAGCGACTTCGGTTCAGTTAGCCGACCTCGGCAAATATTATTGGAGGCTAAATTACTTTGGTCGGAGAAATGGCGTCCTAAGGTCGTTCTAAAAGGCTGAGGACGCTGTTAGCGGGCGCTTGTCGCCGCCAACCTGGGAACGGCATGCCGCACGTGTGCCACGCCGTTGGATGATGCACATCCCTCCCCTCGACCCACTGCGGGAAAGCGTGGTCTTGTCTTCCTGATGACCCGTCGAAGTATAAAAGAAATAGAAATGCCGACCCAAACTTAAAACCTTGGAAAGCCCTGAAACCCGTTCGTATTCCGGTCATCCCCACCCGTGGACATGAAGATCTCTCTGTCGGCCCTTCTCGGGCTCGCCATTTCGGCGCATGCCTCAACTATCGAGTACACAACTGTAACGGGATACTTCCTTCAGGATGAGACCGTGACCGATCCCTCAACTTTTGATTATGTATGTATGTAACTTACGAGAATCAAGAAACAATCTAACACGATGTGGGTCTGAAGACAGCCGTCAACTTCGGCCTCATCAACCGCACGTACCCGGCGGATAAAGAGCTTAAGCACCACCAGTCCACGACACAATGGGAGCGCTTCTACAATCAAGTTCAGAAATTCAACGAGGACTCTCCCAAAAACATTGAATACAAAGTCCTCTTCCTCGGTCGCCACGGAAATGGCTGGCACAACTCCGCCGAAACATACTACGGCACCCCAGCCTGGAACGTAAGTCCATGTCCAAGTCCACTTTTATGAGCCGCCCATTACAAACCCAACATGTAAACTAACACCCGAAACCAGTGCTACTGGGCCGAACTCAACGGCAACAGCACCGTGACCTGGTTCGACGCCGCCCTAACCCCAGCCGGCGAAGCCCAAGCCCTAGTAGCCCACGACTTCTGGCAAAAGCTCATCGAAGAACAAAAAATGCACACTCCAGACAACTACTTCGTCAGCCCCCTAACCCGCACCCTCCAAACCGCCAATCTCACCTTCAATGGCCTGGACCTACCCCATGGCTCTGCCGCCTTCGCCCCGGTTATCAAAGAACTCTTCCGCGAGGGTATTAGCATCCACACCTGCGACCACCGCCACAACAAGTCCTACATCCACTCCATATTCCCCCACTGGGCTATCGAGTCCGGTTTCTCCGAAGAAGACAACCTCTGGAACGGCGTTACAGCCGAGACTAGCGCCGCGCAGGACGTGCGTAGTACCCAGGCTCTCGGGGAGGTATTCTTCGGCGAGTCCAGCAAGAAGAAATCGTACGTTTCCGTGACGTCGCATTCTGGAGAAATTTCTTCGATTTTGAGGGTTTTGGGACATCGGACTTTCAGTTTGAGTACTGGTGCTGTTATTCCCGTTCTGGTTAAGGCGGAGAAGAAGGAGGGCAAGGCGACTACTACGTCTGTTTCGTGGACTGCTAGTGCGCATTGTACGGTGGCTCCCATTACGAGTGTGACGGCTTGTGTTTGCCCTTCTAGTGCGGCGCCGGTCACGACGCCACTTGTTGCTACGGGGTATTAGGTGCTATCTTGCTTGCCCGGGTGTAGTATAGCTTTGTATAGCTTGTGATGCTTAGATATAGATGGTAGAATTATAGTCGCTTGTTGCTCATACAGTATTAGATTAGATGTCCTTTGATGGATACCGTACGACCCAAAACTGGTACGATTACCTACACTCTTCGTTGCCTCTACCTACGACATGGCGTTGCCTTACGAAGGCAGAGGAATAGGAAGAAAAGGAAGTGAATGGCGATCAAGCCCTCGTCAGATCTTCCCCAGCCCCTTCTGGTTTCTTATCTTTAATTTTCTAAGGTATTCTATAGTAATTTACAGTGTCTCATTCAACACTGCACTCTAGCACATTCCATTCCACTAGAGCCTGTTGAGCAGGGGCTGCTAATAGAATATCATTGTAAAGTCTACAGCGCCAAAAATGATGACTGTCGACCTGGCGCAGCCATTCAATACACTCAATACAACATTTCAAATATCATTTAAAAGACTTTTAAAATATGCCCCTCGTGGATACTCGAGCTACCTCAAACATCACAATGGACTACAAGACATTAATCAATAGGAGCACATTGAGTTTTCGGTGTTAGTAAAAGCGAGGAAATCCCATCCAAGACAAATTGTCAAATAATCATCCAAATAGACAAGGGCCAAACCCATACCCGTACCATGATCTGTTCACTTGTCGAGGGTCATTCCATTTAGCAAGAATGCTCCCAATTGCCATCTTTGATGCCAGTCAGACAAAGCTTTGAAAGACGGATGAAGAAAAACATACTGCAACCCTGAGGTTTGTCTGAATTACGAACCCATCCGTTCTGGGTCTGGTACCAGTTTCTTTGATGATATTCAGCCTCACCAACTCGTAAATTTTTGATGAGGACAGACTTACTTGTATCGACAGCTTGCACTGAACTGACCACCAGGGAATGCCTGACCCTTTCGGTCACTCGAGTCACACGGGTACTTCCAGTACCAGTATTGATTTCTGATCCTGCAAGGGTTATTGAAATCACCTTTTCCATGTCCTCCGCCTCCTCCGCCCCCATTTCTCTCCTCGAGGGCATCAAAATCGACAGGCTCCGCAGTTGGAGAAGCTAGCGCCAGCTCATTTGCCAGAGGGAGCAGCACGGCCAGAATGTAGAGAGGAGACTTCATTTTGTTGCAGCAAGAAATTTAATCCTTGATATGTGACTTTGATATGTGACTTTGTAGTAAGACTTTATCTTGATGAGTTTGAATGTCGGAGCTAGCCGCGACTTATTGGGATGTTATATAGACTAAGGTGGCAAACAAACTGAGACCAAAGTATCATTTTGTCGAGCATGAGTCTTTTTTTGAATGATTCTAGATTCAATGTGAGCGTCATGAACAATACTTTGCGAATTTCGGGATCTCGTTGAAGTTTGCAGCTTGCTAGATTTGAGTAGTCCAGGACGTTTCTTGGCACTTGGCTCTACCAAGTCTACGGAGCCACAAATGCTTGGTGGATTTGTCTCCGCTCCAGTCCAGATACAAAACCACCAGTACAATCAAGCAAAAGTAATGTCTTGAATGACCCAGGTCTAATGGTACCATACTTTAGAGCTATTTACTATCTTCGGTCTACATAATGTCTTATTACATCACTTACTGTAGGTTCAGAACTATTGGCAGAGGAGATCTATGTGAATCTCCAAGGACCCTTCCATGAATTCCAGCGGACTCTAAAATAGTAGCAAATTCTAACCGCACAGCATTTGATGCTAAAACCAGCCGCGCAGAAGGTCAATGCCTAGAGTTCTTGATTGAATACCAAAAATAGGACATTTGTAAGCTACAGCCCCTAAACTTGAGCAGGATAATAACATAGGAGGATAACATATGAGAGGTACCCTTTCTCTAACTATAGCCGAAAGTTCAGTCTGAGAGCCCCTCATGGGCGCCTTAAAGTTTTAATTAGAAAATCTAAATTAAAAAATATTAAATTAGTACAAAAATCAAAGCAATTGGTTGGGGTTAATAAATTTGAGGCGAAATCTTGGGAGGAAGTGACTGATCTAGCCATGGGTACGAGATGTCCTCTGAACATAGCTGCTCTGGAACCCCGCCTTTTGGCTTGGCATACGGCGCCAAAAATAATGCCAAGACAAAACACAGAGCCTCCACTTCGTATTAGACTGAGCTCCAATGACTATGAGACTCTTGTTGTGGTAATCTAGACTCATAGCATTGGCCTGAGGTGGGTTTAAAATAAGTCAACGCATAGTCAACCACAGGTCAAGCATGATGAAAAAGTGTGGGTCGAATAACCTGCCATAATCTCGCTTGATTTTGAGCCCCTGGGAATCTCAGCTTGATTTTACAAGATATTTTGTTTCAAGAAACCAATGACAATGGCTGGGTGACAATGGCTGGATTCTTTGGTTTTGCCAAGCCTGGGGTTCCATAGCTTGGCTTTCTGTGTCTCCGCAAGTTGTACTATGAGCTTGACGGGTGGACTCCCCGGAATATGGGCCTCTATCTGGTAATGGTCAGGTAGTAAGTCAGAATACTTTATATTGAATACGTAGTTTAGATATTCCTATGCAAGGTAAATTCTGAATGCAACTTTGCGGCTTTGAAATCGTGTCTTTGATTGTTCAGATCGCTATAAGTGATTGAAAGATCTCATTGTAATCTAAGACCCAGGAAGAAACCATGAAATATATTTAGACTATCCATTATATTTAGACTATCCAAAGAATTTGTGCCAAGGACGACCCGGAGTGCCAAGGATGACCCGTCGTAACGTTAACTCGTATTCCGCGGGTGAACAGGACGAGCGGAAGGGCTGATCAGGTCGTTTGAGCCATGTTCCCTCTACACGCTTTCCATGGCGTAAGACACAGTATAAATAAACTGATCTCAATGGAATTATGTGGCTTGGACAGAAACCAGAGAAAAAATCTCTGCCAATCCTAGGGGGCCAAGATGGTTTAGCACTGAATTCCTGTTCTATCAACATTTGCCACTGGAAGGCATAGATTGGAATGAAATGTGCGGGTGAGAGACTCAGACTGAGACTTGTATAGGTTGAGAGCGCTAAAACCTATTATTGTTGAATCAAGAGACGTTGGTCACCAACACTGGTCGGTCATGCCGGGATCTGTCAGTGACAGATCAACAGGTGTGGGCCATTCTAATCCTCGATCTCGCAATGAACCACGGTTGCGAAGCTCCAAACTATCTTGGTTGTTGATACATTGCGTAGTGGATCGTGTGCACTCTTCGTGTTGAAGTTGAATCCCCGACCTATAGGTTGCGTCCGTTTGATGCTGTGGCTCGTTTCCGGTTCTAATACCCCGCAGCTTCCAGGCCACTCATGTTTCGCCATACCGTCACAAACTTCGCCAGAACCGTGGATGAATCCTCTCTGGCGCTCTCGGTTTGACTGATTGTGTTCGGGATCAACGCCTCATTCCGTTGAGAAGCCCAATCTAACCACATGTGCAATGACCTCATCTCAGATGGCTCAGTTTTTGGTATATATTTAAGCAGGTATTTATGGTTGACTGACTCTCTCGCCAATGGATTATAGTGTCAAATTGAAAAGCGAACTGTGAAATCACAATGAATATCGATGAACATTGCTCTCATGTTATTACCAGTGTCATTATTTTGGGAATAATTTTCACGATTACTTGCGCCGCAGATGCTGCAACATGGATATCTTTTCAATCAGTCAGTAAATGCTGACCCTTTCATTTGCAAAAACAAAATCTCATTGAGTGGTCTTGAGGCAGCGACCGGATATTCACGCCCCAATTCTCGATGTGAGCACCAATAACGAACAGAGTGTTACTCCTGGCTTTATCTTCTTGGCACCTTATGAAACGGCGCTCCCAGGGCCATATATATATGACATGAGTGGAGTGAGCTCACGAGCCTCACAAAATATCAGAAGATCCACTGATATAACATAGGAGCTTGTTTGGAGTGGTTCAAACGGATCGACCACGGTGATTTCTCATGATCTCCATGTCTGTTCATATGCAGAATCCGATCACCTCTGTTTCTTCCAAGGAGCTCAAATTGGTGGATACGCTCGAGGTCTCAGCGTGTTCTTGGATAATGAATATAAGCCTGCTGCGACTGTGCAGAGCGGTAGAGGTTTGGAGCTGAGTGACATGCACGAGCTGAGGATTTTTGATGAGGACCGTGTGCTGATTACAGTCTACCAGCCAAAACAGTACGATCTAGTGTCATCCGGCATACCGGCTGCTAATGGATGGGTAATGAGTGGTGTGTTTCAAGAGATCAATATAACCAGTGGAGAGGTACTCTTCCAGTGGTCATCACTGGATCACGTTCCTTTATCGGAAACTTATACTCCCCTTGGACTCAACCCAGCTGTGGGCAACGGGCTGAGTAATACCACCCCCTGGGATTATTTCCATATCAATTCAGTGGACAAGTCCAGTAAGGGTGATTGTTACAACTCAGAATGCGAGGAAACATGTAGTATTCAACGAAGGTACGAAACTGAAGAAGAGACTAAGTTCTGAGGCACCATGAGCTGGTAAACAATCCCCATGTGCGACACTAGTCCCAATCGGGGTTGTTGGCCCATTCGTTCAGGCATCCGTTCTCATGCGTCACAGTGATTATATTGTCTCTTCGAGACATACCAGCACCATCTACAAGGTGTCAGGCAAAGACGGATCTTTGTTATGGCGACTGGGTGGTAAAGAATCCTCATTCACATGGGTAGACTATAACTTCTCGTCGCAACATGATGCACGCCTCCGTGAAGAAAATCAAACCCACACCATTTTGTCGCTTTTTGATAATGGAAGTGATAACTATCGAAACACTTCATCTACATCAGCGGGGATGATTTTGGCTCTTGACCACAGGACGAATACTTCAAACATCTTAAACCGGTTTGAGGCCCCGGGAAAGGGCTTACTTTCAACTAGCCAGGGTAACACACAGATGCTTCCTAATGGAAACGTGTTTATAGGATGGGGAGAAAACCCATCTGTTTCTGAGCATACCGCAGATGGGTCAGTGGTCTATATCGCTACCCTAAAAGACCAAAATGCAATGAATTATCGCGCATTCAAGTGGAACTGGACTGCCACACCATCTGTCCCCCCTGATGTCTTCGCCCAAGCATCTTCTCCCAACGCTCCATTCACATTCTGGGCAAGTTGGAATGGGGCGACAGAATACAACAGCTGGAACTTCTACGGAAGCAAGTCCAACTCTGATCCATTGGTACTTCTGGGCTCTGTCACTCGGCAAGGCTTTCAGACGACCTTTACATTCCCTCAATTTTATTCTCATGCACTTGCAGAAGCCGTTTCAGCGGACGGCACGGGACTGAGAAACTCCACAATAATAACTGTTGCCCTGCCCAAGGCGAGCAAAAAGTAAATCAAGCGGAGACATTTTTTTTGTATCACATTCTTGTCTGACTAGCCTACAATCTCGAAATATGATGTCTAATTCTATTTTCGATCCATAATTGCGCGAGCGCTTAGAAGAGAATAGCTTCTATTTGTACTCCAGTGTTTGAGCCAAGATCTTTCTAGTCTATATACCAAGGATGGCTTTTCTTCATCGCTGCTGTGTGGCAGATAGGACCTATGCCTTCCACTTTTTCATCATCTTCATCTTACGCGTAATTATTCGGGAGGAGAACTGGTCCGAAGATGGAGGACCTCAAAAAAAGGGCATGGTAAGATATAAGGTCCATTAAAAAGTAAGTCTAAATAAATAGCCTTGGGGTTGAGTGTTCCTTTGGTTAGAGAGTGAGGGCGGACTAAAGGCTCGGCAGGAACAAATCAACCGTTATTTAGTATAAGGATTTGCATACATGTCTGGCTGTCTATTTTCCCCGTCGCTAGGCTAGATCGCGGACGATGCAAATAGCCATGACGACACGGCACTATACAGGCATGCTGCAGTCTATTAGGTCTTTCCGCATGTCCAAAAAACATATATTTCCCCCTCAAAAAGAAAAAAGAACATCCACTATTTGCTTGCCATTGATTGCAACAGTTGTACTCACCCACTAGGTAGTGGTGACAAAAAGACAAAAAAGGTCGTCCCCGGGAAGGCTCGAACTTCCAACCTCCTGATTAACAGTCAGACGCGCTAACCAATTGCGCCACGGAGACGATTCGATGGAGGATTGGCCCCACTAATGTAACTTGATAGATTTTGCCACTAGCCCCGCTAAGTCTTTTGTGCGCCATTCGTTTCCTATATCATAAAGTCTTTGGAGGCATAGCTGTCTTCATATTTTCTCTTCCATTATCTCCATGAGTTTCAGTCAATAGTTCTTCATGCTTCATGGCTTTTTTTTGAAACTACTGTTTGATCTCCTAGTCAAGCAATGCAATCAATCACCTCTGCCTCCTGCGACTATTACCATAGGATAAGAACCCGGATTTCAGTTTATGATGCAAAACTCCGGCATCACGGTGATGGTTATGTACGGACAAAGTCTGCTTCTATGCGACAGTATTTTGTATTGCTAATGATTGTTTAGAGGTATGGCATGTTCTTTCGCCGCGTTTCCATTGCGCCGGTTGAATGATATCTCCGTGGCCTTTCTCTCTCTTCTTCTATATGCCGATAATGAGAAAATGGTCGTTAGAGGGTAGGTGCAACCCAACTAAGGAGCCCTCACGACTATTACCAGCGATCACGATTTTGTGTATCGTATGTTTGAAAAAGTATGAAAAGAAGTAGAAGCCTCGACCGACAAAATGCTTGTATTAACGATGGTGCTCAACTGCCTCCTCTTCGCGCTTTGAATATTTTCATTGTGGATGATCATATCCTCGCTTTTGAATTTTCTCTTTCCATATTTCTATATCATTCTAATGACGCGAGACTCATTCAGGTCTCACTTATTGTAGTCCTGTTGGCTTTCACAAATACACGCCAGATGAGACGAAGTGGCTGGTACATCTAGAATCGCTTTTACTGGTCTCATAATTCGGCGCAGAGCATAGCTCAATAACATCATGCAATATTTGCGTTAATCCTACTTACGTAGGGCAACTTGCACCGCCCCACTGTACAATACATAAGCGAATTCGGCCAAAGCAGTGGGTCCCGAGGGACATGATTCCGGGCGTTTGTTTCAACGAAGTCTCCGTGGCGCAATTGGTTAGCGCGTCTGACTGTTAATCAGGAGGTTGGAAGTTCGAGCCTTCCCGGGGACGTCCTTTTTTGCCAATTTGACTATTGGCAAATTGTTTTTGTTCATGCAAAGGAGACGCGGGGGGTGAGAGGTCAATGTGTGATTTCTGTCCCGAGCGGGAAAATAAATTTTCTATTTCTGGTATTCGTCGGAATCTCTAGGGTTTTTCTATGTACTAAATCTCGGAAGTATTTAATTAAAGACTACAGTTAGTTACAAAAAGTCTATTGACAATCTGTTATTCTTGATAGTTGTGCACTTCTTCGTTAGATCTGATCGTGCATGGTCACGTCCACAGTTGGGAGAATCGCTTTCCTCGGTATTCTGCGAATATGACTTCACTAGATAATGTCTTTGTTGATGATCTAACCTTTATGGCCATGCTGTCTTAAGCTTCGGATTGCTCTTTTATTAACTAAATATGCCTATGCAGAATGCCACATGTGTCCATCCCAAAAAAAATCAAACCATGGCGGCATAGGAGGCGAGAATATACATCGTGCTTTTTAACGCATTGATTACTGGTCAGCATAGAATGGATGATGATCAGTGTGCTTATCCGCCTAGTCGTCGTGACCGCAGTCGGGTATTTTTGCTAAAACGCGCATCCAAGATCCTATCTAAGTTTCTTCCTGCCCCGGAAGTGATAAACAAGATATTTCTCAGACTCTCACAAGACTTCTAGGTTTTTCTTGGCTTCGAGCTCCAAATCATATTATCATCGGTTCGGGAGGGTATCGTGAAACCGGAGGATCTTTATCAGGCCAGGAAAGGTCTTTACAGCGCCGAGGGTAGGGGATATGAAGGTGTAGACTTATTTTACTGCTCGAATCGAATGGAAAGAACCTGAGGGTGTAGGTATACCGTTACCGTGCCTCCTGTGGTATGATAAGTCTGACGTAAGTGATTTGATCAGATCATAACTGAAAAAGAAAGAAGAAACCTGGGAATCCATCCCGTAGATGGCCTGGTTCATTTATACCTTGTCCCTGGTTTTGCTTTACTCCACGGCATCCCAGCAGAAAGCACCCGAACTGTAGGGATTGCATCAGATGGGGGCCAGAAAACAAGAAACATACATGTATATCTGATTGGGATCAATTTTCCTTCTCTAATTTTTGCGGACGGGCTTTTTTCGAGCCGGCGATCACGGTATGGCGTCCTTGACTGAGGCTGAAAATTTTCCAGTTTCTTATAGATACTCATCTTTGTTTAGCATGAGCCATTCATGGGTAGACTGGTTGGAACTGTATTCGGACTGTACTTGACCTTTACGTCTTTATATTTTCGTGGACAATCTGTCTCTCACTCACTTGGTCTTAATGCCTTAGTTCTGTGCTTATTCAAAGGTACATCTACTGTTCCTTCAATCAAATCAGTCCTTGATGCTGGAAAGAAAATATTCCTATTGTAAAACGCCTATCAAGCCGTGGAGAAGGTTCACTCCTGGAGTTTGCGTGGCGTTGATGATGAAATTTCGGGGCTTAGGGTCGGTATTTATCTTTTTTGGGGGGTCTACGATTCCAATTCTGACTTTGCAAGGAACACTCCAATGTTTTTTTAGAAATTGTTGATTTGAGTAGAAGAGTGTACAAGAGGGAAAGTGTGTGGATCTGCGGCAGAGATATATCTTGAAGTTTAATCACATCATTTATTACCAAACACCGACGCCAATTTAATTATTCGATCGAGATTGTGAGAGCGACTCCCCTCATTTAAGCCCCTTGATAGAATGAAAATCCAATCTATGCATTAGTCTAACCCTTTTATTTCCCCTAAGTTGCGCAATATGGCCCAAGCACTGAGAGCCCCACACAAAGTATTGCATTACCCACTGTCGTTCTATTCTTGAATCCGGCCGCCTTTCACATCGAATCGTCTCCGTGGCGCAATTGGTTAGCGCGTCTGACTGTTAATCAGGAGGTTGGAAGTTCGAGCCTTCCCGGGGACGTTCTTTTTTTTTTTTTGCATTTTCATCATCAAGCTCTATGGCATAGAGTACTATTTGCCGGCACAAAAAAATAGAACGTAAATTAACCGCACATTACCACGCAACTTACCAAAAAGCGAGAAAATTCAAGCTAATTTGGCTTTCTGTCGGAAGGAATAATAAGTTACTAACCATGGGTGGACGGTGACATGCGCGCATCTAGTAACCATTTCAAGAATGCAAATAGGTCAATGGAACCTCTAGTTTGGAGTACAGGAAATAAAAAAGGTATCACTATCAATTTGAACCAACCAAAGCGAGAGGGGAGGGGTAAGGATGATTAGTGCGACCCAACTTGCCAGGATAAAATATAAACAGCACAAGCGGAGCAGAAGAAAAAAAGGGTTGTTATTCGCAGGAATGCTGTCTGATAGACAAGACAAGCAAGAAGGGGGAATCACCGGAGACCTAGCCTTTAAGTTCAAAGTTCAGACAGTAATACACAAGCAAATATTCAAATGTGAAAAGTAAACGCGAAATGAAATGCAACAGCAACATTGGAAATAAGGGCATGGTCGGAAGGCATAATAGGATATCTCGACCATAAGAAATAATCCCCTCTATCGACCATGTATGGCAACCTGTGGAAGAATAAGAAGAACATACATATTCATATCCTGTAACGTTCGGCAAGCATCAACGCCGGGTGACTTTAAGAAAGAACGCCGGGAGTAGTAGAGATATCGCAGATTGAATCCGGTAAAAGGAAATGACAAGGAAATAGAAAGTTCACATAAACAGAAGACATCAACCGAGACACGACCCTGACCGCGTTGAACAATGGGTATAGGAAGGCTGGCCCAGATCACCGATACCAATAGTCCCGTTTAGGGACCGACACAAGAATGCAAGGGAAACAACTAGAAATGACACGAAAAGTAGGGGAGATCAGTGGGAGATCAAGAAGACAGGCAATAATGTTCCTGATGCTGGAAAGGAAATTGTTTCCAATGTAAAACGCCTGTCTAGAAAACGCCGGTTCGCAATCTAGTAGCCTGACCATCCGCCCAACGGACTGCCGGACTGGCCAGGCTGAGGTTGACCGGGTTGTATCGGTCCACCTGGCCCACTGGGCCATCCGGACATCCCACCTCCTGCCATGCCCATTGCCATGCCTGCTTGTTGGGGGTTTCCAGCCATGAAAGCTTGTCCGCCAGAAGCCTGGTTGGCGGCATACATTGCCCGGGCCATGTTGGGATTGTACCCAGCCGGAGCACCACCGGGGAATCCCATGCCTGCCATAGCCTGCTGTTGCGCTTGGGGATGTTGCTGCATCTGAGCAAATTGTTGCGGCATCTGGGGCACTGATGGGCGATGCTGATTGCGTGGCGACTGGTGGGGCTGCTGACCGTGATGACCCATAGGAGAAGGTGCCTGTTGGGGAGCAGCGGCCATCTGCTGAGCGTATTGGGGCATGTTTACCCCTTGCGGCCCCTGCGATGACAAAGGTGAGGGTTGAGGTTGCGGTGGTGGCTGACCCCACATATGTTGCTGTTGGGTGGGATATCCGTAAGGAGCCTGTGCCATACCGGCAGACATGGACGGATTGGAACGCTGGTGCATAAGGTTGGGTTGCATGCCTGGAGGAAGGCCCCTCATGGGGGACTGGCCCATTTGCTGTTGGTGGACCTGCTGAGGGAAACCAGGCTGCCCAGCCATCATCGCTTGATGAGGCATGACGTGCTGCGCATGTGCAGGATTTGCCATTCCTGCCGGTGGTATTTGGGCATTTTGAATGGGCTGCGATACCGAAAGTCCAGAGTCGAGAGCAGTGCTAGACTGAGGCTCAGTCTCAGGGGCTTCGCGGGGCTTTGCGTAGAACTCATCCAGACCCTTATGGCGCAGGGCACGTTGTGACCCTAAGGCTCTGTTGAAATCAGCCGCGGTCTGAGCCTGATGAATGATCTCTGAGCCGGCGCTCGTCTTGGTGATATCATGATACGTTTGGCCGGTCAATTCCTGCCGCGCTCGTGGCATGCTGTTGTAGTCTCGTAGGCGCGGGTCATCCGTCGTCGCCATATGAATCATGGGCAAATGGTTCAGTGACACAGCAGATTCTGAAACATCCAAAGAAAGACCGGGAGGCAACGGCTCGATAGTACTGCCAAATATGACATCGTTGTGAGGAAGTGCCGGCAGCATATTATGGCGTTCGTTGTCTACCGTTGTCCCGTCGCGTGTCTTCGCGGCTCCTGGGCGCTTCTCGCCGGCGAGGTCGTCCTCAGTGAAGCCTTGTTTCCGTGCCTTGCTCTCCCAATAATCATCGCGAACTCTCCGACCGTTGACAATCACACGGCTGCCGAACTGTCGGAACATGGATCTAGCGGAAACGATGGCGATTTGGCGTGATCGATATGAGTAAGGAAGAATATCCTGCTGAATGAGATCGTCCTTTTCGATTTGTGAAGCGATGATCTTGTGTAGAGAGCGGTTCTTGTTGAACAAAAGGTAGGAGTCGCGATAATTCAATACCCTGGCGCACTCTGTCGCCAACATAAAGAGCTTTGTGCCTCGATTTGGTACACGGAACGTCCGACACTTATATTCACGACCACCTTGCGGATATCCCATAGCGTCTGCCTTGGTCTCCCCGGCTTCATCGAATTCCTTAGGGATGTATTCATCGCCCTCTTCGTTCAGTTGATCGGACGTATGATCCCTGACTGTCGGAAGGGCCTTGACTAGTGTTTTTGACGGTGTGGTCTTATCCGGAGGCGATGCGAGAGGCGGCGACCCTGCCGTTTGGTGAGGGAGCGGACGGGATTGCATTTGGGGCGTTTGAGCAGGGGTGCCCGCGGACGGCTGGTCGTTAGAGCTTGCCCGGGGTGTCTTCGGGGGACGACCGCGCTTGCGTCGACCCTGGTCCTCTACAATCAATCCAGGCTGGTTAGTGAGGTTCGCCAAAAGAGATAAAACCAAGTGCGATCGAACAAAAAGCAGTAGAAGCGATAGAATGTCGCAAATTCAACGAAGCCTCGATAAAAAAGACATTAAGACAGTATTCTCTCCCATGCACACGTACCATCATCCTGATCTCCTTCTGTTTGTCCATTTCCACCGTGATCTGGAGTGCGACTACGCTTGACACCACGGGGACTGGGTTCAGCAGGGGATGGTGCCGGCATAACAGAGACTAGGAGGGGCATCAGTTTGAAGGAAGGCGACAGGAAAAAAGACAGGACATAGGCAAGAGGCGACGGGACGAGGCAGCCAACGGTCGCAGATGACCGATCGCGGGGGGTTCGCGCAATAGATCGGTCGCGACGATAAAAACACGCAGCAGAACGAGAGACCACAAATGCGACAGAAGCCAGCACAGCACGATGATACGTACCAGAGTTACTCAAGTTTGCTGGATCAATGGTGCCGAAGCTATCAATGACCTCTCCTCCCATTCCGTTCATCGTCGTCGAGTGAGGCGTGCCATACATAGTCAAGAATCAGACGGGGACGGCGAGGCCGCGAAAAGGCGCGTCGATGGGGGCGCCAGGGGGGGGGATCAAGTCGCAAAGGATGCGACAAGAGAGTCACGGTGGCGCAAGCGGGTCTGTTAGGCTTGCATGCAGATGGCCTTGAAAGGACGATCAGCGCGGGAAGGGTTGGAGGTTCGAGTTGGAGCTTTCGTTTGGGACTTCGAGAGGGGCGAGGCGGTGAGACTCTTTGGTGCCTGATGTTTCAGGATGCTATCCACGTGAGCCGATATAGAACCGAAGAATGGAAATAGGTGGAGATAGCGAGATAGCGAGATAGCGAGATAGTGGGATAGGAAGATAATGGTTGATAGGGGTAGGAATAGTAGGTAGACACTGAAAATAGACCAAATTGACAGGGGAATCTTGTCACAGTAAAGTCAAGGGGGCCGCAAGGGCGGGGAATGCACACGGGATTGGTCACGAGGAGTAGAATAGAAGTCTGAGGTGGCGGTGAAGGTGAAGAAGACGAGTGATATGGAGAAATAGAACTGGAGTTATCAAATGACGCAGGGTGCCACGGGAACCCAGTCGTGGGTTCGGGATCTCCCGAAGAACAGTGGCCGTTGTGGGATCCCCCAGTCATAGGAAAGATCGGATAACGAATATCAGATCTGGAGTGGTAGGCCTTTTGACCTCCCCGGTCTACTTGTTTCGCTAGAAAACGACAGACAAATGAGACCCCCAAGGGCGATGGGTGATTTTCCCGAGGTGATACAGCGATCGACGAGGTTGGCAAGATTGAAGGACCCTGCGTGGAAGAGGAAAAAGCGAAGGGAGTAACCGTTGCACAGGTTGGATTTGAAATGACCCTTTTGCGTGACTGAGTCTAATTCTACAGCTACTCGACGCGCACTAGGACTATAAAAAGCCAGCCCCAGCGCCTCATAGGGGGTTCTCCTTTCACGTCTCCATCACACAGTCCCTCGCTATGATAGGCTTCTGTCTCTTTGTTCGCGCTTGGTCTGGATTGTGTAACTCGACTTGTCTCGAATGGACCAGACTGGATCACGCCAGGGCTATGAGAATGAGCAGAACAAGAAAGCTCTGTGGTTTACTCCCGTTGAGAACCCGTGGTCCGGATGATATGATTTTTCTATAGTTTATCTGCGGGAATAGGCATGGCATTAGGAAAAATAAACTAGATCATGCATGGTCTCACGAGACCCTTGTCTCTACAGGATGATAGTTAGACCATGTCGGAACCATGGTGATGCCTCGATACCTCTGCTCGGTGTGAGTAAAGAGACAAACCTTGTTTTTGTGCCGACTATGCTGGGCGATAATGCTCCGAGGAGAGCAATGAGGGGCACTACAATAAGATCCGTACGGAGCACAGTTACTAAGAGCATACTAAAACATACTAAGAAAGCCGGGATTTGGGAGCTCAGGCCGCATCTTGTCAGCAGATGAGACGCACTAGCGACCTTTTTGACCTAGCGGGTTATACAGATGAACATGAAGCTCATGCAAGATGCGGCCATCGCGGCTTCGATATTCTCACTCTTAATGCGCTTCATATTATTCCAGTCTATCTACTGAGCTGCACGTAAACAAAAAGTAAGCAGAGGAACAGGTCCGAGGTTGGAACGGTCAGGTTCGCAATCTACAAACCCCGCCGGGCTTAGTGCGAAGCAGATGACCACGGTCACTTGAGACGATCGACGGCCCATGCGCGGGGTTTCTACCAGGCGCGCGTTCCAAGCTCTGATATACCAGGATCCTCGGGAAACCATCGACTGTACGATAGCGAACGAGATGGTACAGTGTGACAATAACTCATCCTTTCACGGAATTACTCCAAGTAAAACAGTCTCACGACGGCCTCGTCCGTTGTGCTGCCGTGAAAGCTTCGGCAATTCTCTCCACGTCGCACAGGGAGCAACACTGGACTCCCCGAAGCACACAAGGTGACTTTGCAGCTTCGGAAGTGGTCGCGATTGGATGATTTGTTGCTTGTACCAGGCGATCCACGTCGGATGCAACCTGTAGATTGACCCTTCCGGATCGGACAGATATTGAATATAGATTTGTTCCGGGTAAATGCCCTGCCGTAGAGTGGCTGATGGTAACCGTTTGTAGCCATGTCGATCAGCTCTGGAACCGTTATAGACCGGATCTCTGACCGGCAACTTGAGTCTCGGCTCATACTACTGGCTCCATATCCGCCAAGATTAGGAGTGTGCATGAGATACGAACATTCACTAGGGCCTCGCCCATTACTACTGATCTGAGACATCGCCATGTCCTCCAAACCCTAAGCCCGTTCGCCTAGTAACCTGTTATCCACAGTGGGACATGAGCTATTGACAAGCATAGAATGAGAGCCACATTCGTCAGCTCGATGTAATACACAGTGACAGGTTGACAGGTGGAGTAGCAACATTCCAAGACATCTCCCATGTAAGGGTTCCTGGTGCCTGCTCCTGGATGCAACAGCAGAATCAGGCTCCAACCAGTGGCGAAGGGATGGCCCTGGAGTCTCTCATCACAAATCACAAAGCCACCAGGGAGGAGTCTGGGGAGAATAATTACCTGTTTGAGGCAACAACTTCGTGGGAAATGCAGATCCTGGCCTATTCCAAGCCACTTGGAGCCCGTAAGCCGTAAATTGAGGATGAAACTTCCTGCTCTGATTCGACTGGATACTATAGGCATGCTATGGAACTTGTGGCATGTGGACAGGTCTATCACGCGCAGCATGGATAAGTCGGTGCTAGTCCCAAGCGCCAATTTTGAGGCTTTTGAAAAGTGTATGTCTGAGAATACGTGGAGTGTTGCGCGTCTGAGAAAACCACGCGTCGCACAACTTGCTTCTTGGAAGGCTCCCAAGAATAGTCACAGTGGCTTTATAGTAGAATAGCCTCGACCGTCGATAGAAGCTCTGATATTTGGTTCTAGAGTTCGGCTTTCAGCTGAGACATCCCAGCAAATTCCAACATCGTAGTCCAATGATGAATCACATACACCGTACAATTCAGGGAAATAGATATATGAGAGATGTGCTCGCGATGGCGTCTTCAACCCCTCGAATGGAACAAAAAATCCAGCAAATCCCTATTTCCGACAAGGCCTGGACCTAACTCTTGGTTTGAGTTCTTACATCCGAGGGTGGAACGGGAATTTGTGCATGTCCTGAATGCGGTTGTAGAAGACCCCAGAAGCTGTAGATCCATGTCTAATACCGAAAAAGGGAACTCGCTAGGTATCAGGGATGTTTCAGCCCGTAGCAGGAGTCGGGAGGCGTCGTGCATTGCGATGCGCGGGGAGAGTTGGACCCATGACCAATAACATTAGGGAGAGGAAGTCATCAGGAGAGTCATCTGCCCACGGGTCGACGGACAGTAGTTGCCGCTGAGAACTAGGCGGAGTATGGGGTAATGAAGGCGATCGACGCGGGGCTGGGGAATCGATGGCAGATCAGAAAGAGAAGTCCTAAGGAGATAGGGGTCATCTGATCGTTTCAAAGTCATTTCTCGAACAATGTTAGTGGAGTTAAACGAATAATAATGCTGGGTACATTTCCATTCAAATTCACCCTTGCTTTTAATTCAGAAACTAGATTTAAACGATGTAGGGTAGCTTTCTTTGCTCACATGGATGGATAGGGACGTACCTTGGACGACCCAGCCTGAGTGGCTCTTGGAAGATTATCAACAAAAGCCATCTGAGATACCATGCCCTGAGACTGAGATTTCCACTAATATACAGAAGCACATCTAAAATTCTATCTAGGTATACGGCACCGCATTCAAACACGTGCGGTTTTCAAGGTCAACCTATATCAGAGCCACCCAGGTTGAGATGTTTCTTTGCAGCATATCAACAATACAACCCACCTGCGTTGACCATTAAATCAATTCTTGATCTGGTATCGATATTCGTGTTTGCGACAACTGTTTATGTGCTACGCGGTAGAAACCGACCAAGACAATGCACAAACCCAATCAGGTGGCACAGCCTTCAAAAAGCCTCGATTAAGAAGAAAGAAACCAAGGGTTTAGATCTTCAACTTTGACAATAGTAGTTTCAAGCCATGCTGGCAAGATTGATTGTCCTTCAATCATTTCCCAATTCATTCCCGCGTAGGACTATGAAGTCTTCCACACTCTTCTCCTTGCATATGATCTTCTACCATTCTAGGTTTCATTTGCTCTTTTTCAATGGGAATATTCAGTACTCTTTTGTGCTTGGACGCGACCGTTGTAATTTTGGTGATCTTCCTACGCTGGTGGTAGAAGGGATGCTAGGGTCGCAAATAATTGCGATCGATTAGTAGGCTGGTGATTTCTGGAATGAGAAAAGTGACCTAAGATAAATAAAGAAAAAAAAAATCAATTGTTTATGTAGCAGTGTCCTATCTTTGCATAGCAATTGATTGGACTGATACCTTTCCCCTTTCGTTGGAAGGGTTCACTTAGCAAGAATGGCCAGAGAAGATGCTGTCTGCCATCAATAAGACTGAGATAGAAACTACCAAACAGATAGACTAGAAGATATTAGTTCAATCAAATCGTTGCGCAAAGGTAGCCTGTTGCACGCCGATCCTTTAGCAGTCCCTGAGAGCACTGCCTCTCGCATTTAAGGGAAAGACATGTCTCCGTGTCTTAGCATTGGCTGATGTTGCGGCAAAGACAACCAGACGGGTCACGATCGGGATCACGTTCTTCGTTGGTTGGATTAGTGCCCGATCGTGACGGAAGGATTGCCGAGGGCAAGATAAAGGTCATCCAAAGAAGTGGATGCCATATCCTGTGGCGTCCTTTAACGGAGCGCATCGGATCGTTCCAAAGTTCTCTCTCGTCAATGTTGCACATGATCGAATTAATTCTGCTTGCAGACATCGTGAGGTGGGTCAACGAATGTGTGGAGGACACAACTTTTGATGACAAAGAATTGGTGGCGAACCCTTACGGGGAAGTTATCGGCTCCGAAATTGACGTGCTGGCATGCGGACTGTACAGAGCTTGCCATGGGGCAACAGCCCGGAGAAAGTTGCTCGGGGCACAGTGCGGTGGGACTACGGGAAAACTTAAAGGAGTAAATGATGTTCACGATGTTCACTCGAACCCTGAGGAATGTTCTTCGGGGAAACCCCCTGGCAACCGTGGCAAATAGGGTTGCTAAGTCACCATACCGGGAAGCAACCACGGTACGTTCCATCGAACATGAACTTGGGATTGCAGAGTTTTAGAGACGACTTTGAACTACAGTCGTGGGATTCCGTTCTGGTGAAGCAAGTTTGAACCAATTCTTAGCGCTGGGCCGTTGCCGGCGGTTCCAATGCCGCATGCGAGGCTCGGTACGAAGTTGAGGGGCTTCGGACTTCCGGAACCGGTAATCCGTGGAGATCGTGAGTTTCCCCGAGCAACGTTTCCTCAGGTTTCGATTTTCTAGGCTGAGTTAAGCACGATAAGCTATGGAGCAGGGTCCCCACAGAAAAAAAAAATTCGAAGCACCAACAGATCACGGAATCGACATCTCCACTTAATGGCCACCGCATGAGGGCTTCCGAATACCCGCCGTCCCACGCATCCCACGCTTGTGAGTCAAAAAACCAAATTCTCACTCTCTGATGGGGGGAGAAGATCCTTAGCGGAAACTTGGAATGAGTAGCTCCAAGCCACAAGTCTGGATTTAGGTGAATCAAGGAAGAAGCGAAAGGGTGAGTTGGCGAGCTAAGGGGGGAAGAGAGGGGACTAAGTCAGGGCTGGACCGAGCCCGGTAGGTCTAGATTCGGTGGCAGTCGGCGTTGGCGCACTTGTCCTGCTGACCTGGAAGACTTTTTGGGTGCAGGGGCCAAGTTCCCCATACGCCGCAGATCAACCCGTATAAAATTCCAGTCCCGACCCTCTTCCTTTTTTTCTTAGGCCCTAATTTTACTCTCGAGTCTTAATAATACATCTCCACACCTCTACCATTTAAATATTTCGATCTCGTCCAAGTTTTGGATCAATTCCCCTCGACCCTATCTCAACCTTTAAACCATTATTCCCCGGTACTATACATTCGCCAGACCGGGCACATCGTTATGACAACTGCCATAGGCATTGTCACTCCCAAGTCGCCGAAGCCTTCACACTCCGTGCCTTTCCAAAGAGCCAACAAACGCTGGCCCCCAATGGCGAACCGCAACGCCCTTCCCTACAAGCTCACCGTCATCTCGAAAGAGAAGTTGGCGCGTGAAGCCACCGCTCCGGACCCGAGCCTTCGCCGCTGCGTGGCACACTTCCGCCTACACTGCGGCTCAGTTCTGTGGACCGAGAACGACATGAAGTCTCGTATTAGCTCATTCGAGTTTGAGGAGACCGACGATGAAGACGAAGCCGAGGACGACAAGGAAGAGACACCTAAGTTTGTCAATATTCCTGTCACCCAAATACCATCGAAGGACATCAAGGCTGCTCAAGTCGCCGAGACCGAAATCCTCGACATGGATTCCAAGAACTTCTGCTGTGTCTCCGTTACTCCCATTGCCGCCTAAGATGGCTTCGACCTCTCCTCTCACGCATCCTTTGCTACTCCCTCGCATCGACTATGCCTCTTCTCTCTGACACTACGAGACTACTGCCTCTCACACATACACACACACTATATCTCTCTCTCGACCGATATACACACGAATAATGACGCCACGACGACTTTACGACAATAGAAGAATGTGTTCTGTACATAGCTACATATTCGATTTAATTCACAACCCAAAAGAATTTTTGCTGGTCAATTTCCGATTCTATTGTAAACCATTTTAATTATTACTAGTGAACTGTAACCTACTTATCCACCCTAAATGCATAATTCCCAATCGCCTCTGTGTTTTTCGTTCCTCAAGCCACAACTCGGCTAACTTGCCTTGCGGTGACTCAGAACGGGGCCGGTCACATGAGAGGCGCTTGCAGCGGTGTGATTGGATCCACTGCCAAGTCCATCAGGGTACGCGTTGTTGACGATCTCGAAAACCGTCAGAGTCACGCTCCAAACCCGGAGAAAGGTACGGAAAAGATGTGCAATTAATTGGAGATCTCCGGATCCGATTTCCTGGCTGATTTAGGCAAATTTCAATCGGCGGAATGTCCAGTCCGGGTAAAACGGGACTGTCAGGGCCGAAATGCCGCGATCCGACGATATTTCCATTATAGGATTGTGGCGCCCGAGAAGAAGAGTCACTACTAGAAACAAGTACGTACACAGTACACGGATAAGCAATAGAATACACTAAGAAGGAATGTAGCTTGACACATGAGATTGTCATACTACGTCAATAGGGCTTTTTTTAGAGAGAGGCGACCGGGACGAAACAGTGCCCTTGCCACTGGACTGCATGAGGTGTCAAAGTAAAGGACACTGGAAAAATACTGGAAGCACATGCCTGCGCATAGCGATGTCGTACATTTGATATCATAGCCAACAATTACGGTTTCCTGTCTATATGGTTGCCGAGAAATTGCTTGTCTTAGCTTGGTCAACGAGAGAATTTAACTGGCTGGCATCTTACCCGCGATCTTACCACGACCGTGATTCTTCTGTGGCAAGTTGAAACGTCACTTTACGTCGAAGTTATGTTTTTGATCCAGACTTGCGTTTTCTGGATCAATCTTATCTCCAAGCATTTGCTAACTATTTGAAAGGAATTGCTCAATTGGGCATTCCGGCATCAAATGACTCAAATGCGGGATACTCGTGGATTAACGGAATGAGATACCACGAATTGCCATCTTCTCGCTGCTATAGAAGCCGACAAGTTAGATTATCCAGTAAGATATTGATAATCTTAAATTCTCTCCGTTTTGTATTTCACAATGTAGTATTCTTTTCCCTTCCTACTTTTGCTTCTTCGGCCCGCTTCCAGTCCTCGGCGAACTAATTCTTCCACTCAATAGATTGTTTAAAGAACCCGTAGCCAAAAGCAGAGTTTTTCAGGTCAGGTAAAAAACAGAAGGGTACGCCAATGGTCTAATTGTGAGACCTACTTGTCCAGTAGAGCCCTGGGTGTATGCTGCCATAGTAGGATCTGAAATAGATCCCCTCTTACAAAATCTGTGGGAAGTGGACATGGAGCTAATCTTAATTCTCTTGGGCTAGTATCTAGTAGGCAGCACGAAAAGCATCTTGATGTATCTCTACCTGTCTCAATAATCTAAGGAGTTAGCGGAATTACACTCAACCCAAAGCTCAATTCTGTGGCTAAACAAAAAATGACGTATGCCTCGATAAGTAATACATGCATATAGAGCTTTTCGATCATCCTCGCCAGCTTCCCATGGGCAATAACCGGATTCGGACGTCTGTCTGCCTGATAGTGGGCAGCATAATTCCAATCGCGGTTATGCTCACCATTGCCACCCTTGCTGTGATTCATGGTTAGTGAAAATTTGCTAACCATGGCAAAAGCTTCCTTTACACTCTGATAGATATCGCAAATCGATTTAGGCCAGTTCTGATAGCAATCGCCGGTATCAGTTCGGAGGCATCCTTGGATACAAGTCGCACATGTAGCCCGTCTCTCTTGCTCAGCTGGGCGAGCAAGACCCAAGCTAGCAAGGGTAAGAAGACAAATGGAGAAGAGTTCATTAATGATTACTTGATACTCCAGGGAGGGATATAGGCAATGCGAAAGTTGTTCTAATTAATGCAAGGTAGTTTGACCGAGTAAAAGTCCAAAGGCACAGATTCTGGACGAGGCGAAGAGGGCCTTCTAATAATGAAGCTGTTTACAGGATAAGGAGAAGAATCATTCCTCTCGGTTTTTGGGTCATATTTCCCCCACGATCTCTTAATTGGATTGGATGTTTTGCAGGCTTCCTGGCGATCTAAGATTTAAGCCTAGTTAGGTTTCACTTGGACTATGTCGATCGATTGAATTCTTCAATAAAAGCCCCTTGCATGAATAGCTTCCTAATTGATGCGCCGCTAAGCCTAGGCTGGGCAAATGGTTATTTCACTAGCAGCCACCGCGGTGATAAGCACCAGCAGGATGACAATGTAATATTACTCCATTTACCCGGCTGAACATACCTTATACCTACATATATAAACGGTAAAGCACTTATGCATTTCAAGAAACAACCTTGGGACCCTTTAAAGTCCGAAAAAGGGTACTGCTTATTAAGAATATTAGATCTGGAGCTACCCCTGGACGTATGTAGCTACTACTGCCTGCCTACCTACCCAGTATCTTAAGAAGTCAAATGCTAGCAGGTAGAACATAACTAGATGTATTGACACAGATGACTTGACTAGTTATTTGTAGGCGCCTTAAGTATGAGGCTTTAGCCGGGTTCCTATATACTACGTCCTGCCTAGAGCATCTAATATTACATAAGTGTCGTAAACATATAGGCCGCATGGTCGTATGCTTAGAACTACTGTTCAGTCCAGAAGTCCAGCGAGCCTCATTCATGACCTCAGAAAGAGTTTCATCTAAGTCGAAGAGGGTAAGAAAGGTACATCTTGAGGGTTCTGACACGGCCGTTGTAAAGCATGAACGTTTTTCTGTTTCTATTCTATCTGGTGCAGTGATTATAATGGATTATGACCTCGATATAAGATAAATCATAATCAACCCAGCTCGAGTGTTGTATTTCGGGCCACTGGTATCCTCCGGCAAAAGATGTTGGTCTCCATTGACAATCAAAGCCTCAGCAAGCGTAGCCAACCCAGCTTCGGAAAAGCCAAGACGTTGATAGAGTTTCACAGTAACATGATTTTCCGGCTTGATAATAAGCCGGACTTGAACACCCAGAGGTGAGGACCGGCACGTTCTTAGATAGTCAAGTGCGTTCTGACAAAGGCTGGCACCGAGTCCGTTCCCTCGGTGCTCGGGAAGAGCGAATAAGCTCAACATCTGCCATCTTTCTTCTTCGGCATCCGATTTCTGCGGCGGCTCGCCGGATTCAGGAGGAAGAATGAAGTTCTCTAGGGATAGTGGGCCGCGTAGAGTGACCTGCCCGATCCACACGGCGCCTGAGTCACTCGATTCTTGATTGAGTGGAGTGGCGGCACAAATAAAGATTTCGCGGTCAGGTGCTGTCAGGATATTTATCCAGTCGGCTTCCGTAAATGCTGATTCAATTTCGTACGTGGATGAAAAAGAGCCCGGTGAGGACTTGAGAGCTTTCAGACGTAGGTCTCGATATTTTTGAGCGGAGATATGGATCTCCTCCGTCTTGGGGATCCGGAAGAAGAAGTAATCACAGGAGCCAGATGTGAAACCCATTGTGAAAGAGAGAATTGGTGACTAGGAAAGACGTTTGCAATCGTGGGCAGGTGCTTGATTATTATATCTGCGATCTCACGGTGGATCGCGTGTGGGTCCGAAGTGGCGCTACGGTGAACTTGAAACTGGCCGATCGCTTACTTTCGGGTACGAAGGTGCCGATAAGAGTCATCGTAGGACGAGTAGTCGAGAGAATGAACTACTAGCTGAAGTGGAAGAAGAGAAGGAAGGTGCAATAGTTGTGTATTAGCATGGGTGTGGTGAGATACGAATATATTTGGCTGCTATTCAGTATACAAAGAGTCAGATGACCACCCAAAAGCCATATCGAAATCATTCAGTAACTCTGGAGGATTCATAAACCCAATTTGCATTGCAGACTGAGTCAAAAAGTCTTGCATAAGAGGGTTGTGAAGGGCCATTTCCGTCGTTAGCTCCGGACCCAGATGCTCAGTTACCGAAGGGACAGCATTCGGACCGAAACTGAGGGTGGATCGATGGAATGACTCATCCTGGTCTTGTAGGCCAGGAGTTGAAGGCTTCAGTGAATTGGGGTTCACACTCAAAGAAGATGTCTTTGACTTGGCCTGATGCTGATCGAAACACTGACGGACCCGCTGAAGATTCTCATAAAGATCCTTGGCTGCCAAGTTGTCGGAAACACTGAGAATTTTAAGCATCTCTGTTGCGATATCTACCGACGCAATGTCGGCTGGATCTCCCAGAGGAAGCATGCTTGATATCATCAAAGTCAATGCAGAGGAGAATATGTAGGCCGGGAAAGCATAGCCATACACTGCAAGTGACCCGCTGATCCATTCTTCTTGACACAGTCTGAGAGAGTACCGGGCAGCATGAATGCATGCCTCACTTAAAGCACCTAGTACAGGCGTCACATCTTCAACTGAGTCGCCAGGATCATTGTTTGTGTGGCCAATAAGAATGTTAAGCAGGACAGGCCGGATTGCAAGAATGACACACTGTCATTGTTAGCAAGAACGGCGAGGGCTGGTCTTTGTCTGACTTACATAACTGAATTGAAGATGAATAAGCACCGTGTGTTTTGAATTGGGTTTATCTGGATGGAGTTTGATATGCTCGGGAAGCGATTGAACCCATTGCTTGAGCTGAATCAGAAGCTTTTGCTCACGCTGCAGGAAGCTCTCGGCTGATTTTTTCCTACTATAGATCTCTCTTGTTGTGTGTCCGGTGATTTCAGCCAGCTTGATTCCAGCAGTCTGATATGCAGCATCTGAGAATTGCTCGCTGTAAGCCTCCGAGGCTGAAGCCGAGGGCAGATCAACATGAACGTCGTCATCGTGAATCTGCACTGGAAACCCTGACTTTGATCCCCAGTAGCGATCGAGTACATAGATTGTCCACCATATACGAACTCGGTGCTCTCTTTCCACTGGATGCAAATTTTGTGTTTGTGGGACGTTGTAATTCAACCCGAGGCTTAATCCGAGGCGTAGCGCATTGCCAATGAGAAGGTAAGCAGAGTGGAACCTGTTCAGAAATTGACAGAAATATGCCTAGTACGATGTTAGTATACCGGGGAGAGGATTAAGAGAGTGTGAAGCATACTAAAAGTAGTAGACTTTCAATATGAACCATACTTGGCCTTTCAGGGATAATTTGAAGAAGACTCATGGCTCGAGCAAAGTAGGATGTACCAGGTAATGTCGACGCATTGAATGTGTCATGGGGCGTAGAGTAGACGTGGCCCACAGCGAAAAGAGCAAAGTATTTGCATTTGAGGGCTGGTTTCTCAAATTCTCCTTTCTGGTAGATTTTGCAAAGTACGTCTAACGTCTCTTTTCTTAGGACCATTGGGAATCCGGGGTTAATATGCCCAAGCGCGGTCTTTACCAGCAACTGAGCATGTGCCAAGCTAGGCCATTGTACGCTTTCATCCAGCAAAGATGCCAATGTAGCCTCATCAGTATAGCGCCACTGTGGAAGGTGAATTGTTGGCGACTCATTGTCTTTCAAACACTGACAGAGACGAGAGGCAAAGGAGATGCATGCTGCCTCGCTGATGTAGACGGGTAGCACCCAAGTGTCGTGTGACTGGAACCACGGCATTTCACTGATAGCTGGATCATGTATAGTAGTTCCTGTAGCTTCAGTAGATTCCGGGGAATAATTCACAGTATGCTCGGTGGCGAGAGGATGTGATTCTTGGCTGGCGCGTTGACGTTGCTCATGAAGCTCCTGGCTGTCTTGAATAAGCTGTTCGAGGTAACTATAGGTGAATATCAGTTAAGAAATATCTAGAAGTTCCACTATTTGGAGTGTATACCTCTCATCAACCCGAATTTTACGATCGCGACTTGAGTATCGGCATTGAGCAGCATAGCCCGCTCTTCGGCACCTCAAGCACGGTTTCTCCCCAGAACATTTGATCTTTTGCGTATGACATCGATGGCAGCTGAATACGTGAGAACCATATTAAGCGTATGCTTTCACAGGTCACTTACGCGATAGATCTCTTCTGAGGTCTCACCGCCGTCTCCGAATTCAAATGGTGGGCTTCTGATCGGCTTGCTGACCTTTGGGTTCCAGTACGCGCTGCCTTTGCCATGTCACCTATGGGGCAGATAGTTAAGGAAAAGAATGAAGTGCGTTATCGCGAAAATCCAGAACATTTCAAGATAGAATCCAGCAAGACGATGTCATCAGAAGTGAAAGTGGAGGAAGCGACCGGCGAACTTGAAAATCGCCGCGGGTGGCTGAGCCAATCATGGGACAGTATTGAGGATAATATTTTCTATTGCGATGTCTCCAAGGAATTCATAACTGATCTAGAGATATGGATCTACAATTCAGATTGAGATCATTTTTGCCAGCTTAGCTTAATTCTTGGCTTATAAGCCAAGATCTCAATCCCCGTAGTTGGACACCGTCTCAACCCTTACTTGGCACGCCATTCTGCCTCTCTTAGCCTCGTCTCGACAAATATCTTTAATTTGCCACCTCTGATCCCATCAATCAAGAGATATTTAAAGCTGTTGCCGGACAACATACGATACGAATTATTGCTCATATACCCACTGATCCCACGCGCTTGGATGACTACCTGACTCGGGTAGTCGATTACATCAAACCATTCATATCAAATTAGGGACATGGATAAACAACCCGACTGCTTGCCTTTGATATATATTAACAATACGCCTTCGTTGTAATTGACATCAACTTCGACTAAGCCCACCTGCAAAAACTAAAAAACCAAATGGGGAACATTTCGCTGTCAACAAGGCAAATAATTTTTGCCTATTTGAACTAATAAATCGACATTTCAAAGCTTCGCGCCAGGGCATTCATCCTTGCTGAACTTATAAACTACATCCTCAAACGCACTAGTTGGAAATACATAGAACCATCTCAAATCCCCGGTTCCCGTGTTGAAGATTGCATGCTCTGCATCCGACGGGATGAAGACCGAGCTTCCTTTCGTAACTTGGCTCGTGACGCCGTCGATGGTGATCTCCCCTTCGCCTTCGATGATGTAGTAGATTTCGGCTTGGACATGGCGGTGGGCGCAGAGATGGCCATTCCCTGGTGGACAATTTGCGACGCCGGCACTCAGCTCTGAGTCTGGTGAGTGAGGTTGAGAGAAGAGAGTGTGCCAGGAGATGATGCCACAGGAGGAGTCGATGAAGGATTCGGATGGTGTGTCTGTTGTGTATGACGGAGGAATTATAATCGGAGCTTGGGTTTCCTTGGGGCATGTGATGTGGGCGGTTTCTTTTCCTGTAGAGGCTGCCATTATGGGTTTGATTTGAAGGGTTGAGAGCTATTCTCAGTATTTGATAGTTGGTTTTATGATCTTTCTGAGGGGTTGTATGGTTTCCTAAAACTTGATGGAGATGGCGAAATATCCACCTTTAAGTTGGCGGAGGACCGCTATTGGCTCTATATCTGGGGGTAGGATTTCCAAAACAAGATATAGGTTCCCAGTTTCCATACCTGGACTTACATCTAGACCTTTGGAGGATCCAAGAAGAGCGAATCGGGGATTCGTACGCAGATAATTGTTGACTTGGCAATAGTATATTTGTGGAAAATTGTGGATGTTCAACCTATGCTCCCTCCCCTCTACCTCTGAAATGATCTCAAGGCAGGTGATGCATCCCTGGGAAAGACGCGTAGCGAGGACATTAAACATGTCATATAGCTTCATACTAGGACTGGAGATGTGAGGATCAACTGTGTATCTTATCTCGCACTGGAGCTATGAAAGGGACCAAAGCCGTATGTAACCCACCACGATACGCCACACGCCATAAGTGTTCATTAAACTAAACGCCGTACAAACGAGGTTCAGGCCGACTGCTGTAACTGATTGCGTTTCACCAGCTGACCTGGTCAAGTCTTCACGCCAGGCCACGGGTCCACCTGTCCCTAATATCACCTGACGGACTAGGAAGTCTTTCATCAAGCCTCCCGGGGGATCCTCAGAATGAACAAAAAACGATACCGGTGGAAGCGACGCAGTTGCGCCGGAGTCTTATGAATGTGGGAGAACAAAGATTGACTTGAAAGAGATAGATAGGACCAGAAAACGCTGACATGAGAACCCGGATGTAATCCAATCCCAACCAGAACAAAAAGGCACAAATTTAACTCGCTGAACAAAAATCAACGTGTGTGTGATCTGGTTCCAAGCCTAATCGACCAAGCGATTGAAGCCCCTCGGAACAAAACTCGTGCACGCCGAGTCCATCAGAAATGCAGGTCTTCCAACGTGAAGAAAGACGGGGTATGTAGCTGAACTGTGGAACAGAACGCGGGGTTAAAACACAATCGTTCAGACCGTGGTGATGGCCGGCGTTCATCCTCTGCAGAGCAGAAACAGATAAAACATAAAACAACCACCCGGGCAGATGAAAAGGAGAGCAAGGAAAGAGACAATAAGAACGAAAACCCATATCTGCGGACCGCCAAGGGATGCATCCAAGGCCATGTACAGGGCAAGATTCAATGACAGATCAAGACTCCATGATCATGCAAATCAATGAGACAAAGACAAATAAAGAAACCGTTTCACATGTCAAAATTATCGTCAACGTTGAAGATACCTGGCTCCGCGCCATCTGCTTTCTGGATTCCACCCATGTGTAAGTCGGTCGAGGTCTGCGACCGGTGAGTGGGCTGCCATGGTTCATCGTCAATGGTATCCTCGTCCATTTCGTCAACGGGCTCCTTCACATGGTGGTCGATAGAACTCTCGTTCACAAATGTGAATCCCTTGAAGTTAGCCTGCATGCCGGGAGACAGGGGGTGGCACCAGCAGGCATCAGGCCGTTGGCCAATGCCGCCGCGCGGTCGTTCAGCGACATGTTGTTTTCGAGGGCATTGGTAAATTCGGGATCGAAATTAGAAGTGTCGGTGTCCGACTGCAGCTTCGGCTTGAAGGGGGGATAACCTGCTTGCGGCAGAGAGCATCCCAGTCGATGTCGTGGAAGAAGGGGTGTGCCATCAGCTCCTTGGCGTCACCGTTGGCTCCCAGACGGTGCTTAGGGTTACGGTTGAGCAGACCCTTTACGAAGTTGCGACCCTCGGTACTGAGAGCATCACGGGGGAACCGAACCTTGCCGAAAGCGATGTTCTTGTACATCTGCTGGGTATCTTCGGCGTAAAACGGACTCCAGCCACAGCACATCTCAAAGACCAAAACACCCAAAGACCAAAAGTCGACCATCTTCGTGTAACCTTGCTCGTCAAGCAGGACTTCCGGGGCAAGATACTCGGTGGTACCGCAGAAGGTGTTGGTGGTGTCGTTTTGTGTCAAGTTTGCCTTGGAAAGACCGAAATCACAAAGGGCAATATGACCGTTGGCATCCAGCAGGATGTTCTCTGGCTTGAGATCCCGATACACAATATCATGGTCGTGAAGATGTTGCAGGGCCAGGATAAGTTCGGCGATGTAGAACTTGGCACGGGCCTCCTGGAAGCGACCTTCACGCTGGAGGTGCCAGAACAATTCACCACCAGACATGTAATCGGTGACGAAGATAAGGTCTGTCGGCGTTTGGAAAGAAAACTTGAGGCCGACGATGAATGGCGAGGCTGTCATGGCGGTGCGCACTAGAATATTGCGCTCGCCTAATGTATGTGCCACCTCCTTTTTCTGAATGATCACCTTCTTCGACAGGACCTTCATAGCGTAGATGCGTTCGGTATCCTTCTTCATCACCTGATAGACCTGACCGAAAGTACCCTTGCCGATAAGCTTGAGAATTGCGAAGTCGTTCGAGCCCACCTGTCTACGGTCGGTCATCTCAAATCGCATCTGGAGGTGGATTTCGCCGGTAACCTGGCTGTCGCCCGCTGCGCGGCCAACCAGAGGGAACCACCCTTCCAGCTTGCTGTGGTCTTCCTTCAGGTCGATACCGAGACGAACGTGGCCCAGGAAAGTCTCTTGATTGTGGCGGTCGTAGACGGTGACATCAACTTCCGACCGGTCGCCCAAAACATCACTAAAAACACAGCGTCAGCAAACACTACCATCGCGGACGGGTGATCGACAATGAGAAACTTACAAGACGGCCTCATGATCCCAGTGGGGGTCGGTCACGGGCATTCTTCCCTTGTTTTCGCCATCCAGGGCGCTGTTGTGACTGCTTTGGCGGCTCTTCATCGGAATGGCCATCGGCCGACCGGCCTCGGCCTCGGCATCCATCTGGCGCCGCTTCTTCTCTTCTTCACCATCCTTGGCACCTTTGGAAATATACTCGTTCCACTCAAAGACACACACCACGTAAGGGTCAGTACTGGGTCGTAAACCGCGAGCCTCTGAGATCTTCACGAAGAGTTTCCCCTTGAGGGCTCCTACGGGCGCTCCGTTCTGTGGGGAAGAAGATGATTCACGCGGGAAGGCCTCCTCGAGCTTGGTGGTGATTTCGTCGGCAGAGCTGTCCATGATATCCTGGGCGGGTGGAGTGGTTTCGTCCTCGTCCTCGGCCTCGATATCGTCCTCGGCTTCGGCATTAGCTTCAGCCTGAGCCTCAGCCTCAGCCTTAGCCTCAGCATTAGCCTTAGCCTCAGCCTCAGCCTCGTGCTGAACCGAAGTAACGGAGGAGACGGATTTATTCTCAGCAGATTCCTCGTTGGACATGGCCCGCGGAGTCAGAGGTGGGGTATTCTTTAGTGGCACCACATTGGATGCCTTGCCAGTCAGCTTGGAAAGGTTCTCGGAAGAGATTGAAGCACGCGGTCTTTCGTGATCGAATAAGGGAGCCCCGGAGGGTAACATGGTATCTGAAGCGAGAGGGAGAGAGGGATTGGAGAAATGGGTGGCAAGGACTGGGTCATCAGAGACCCTGGAGACTGGTAGGGAAGTTTGACGGCGAGAAGGAGAGTCGACGGGGGCGTTCTGTGGAATGAGATAATTCTTCAAAGTACTCAAGATTCCCCCGTCGTCCTTATCAAGACTCGTCCCAAGTTCCATCTCGTCCGACTCACTCTGGAGGAGGGAGTGTGGAGGGGTGGGTAAATTGGGGTGTGGCGCTTCCATTTTCTCAGATTCATCGCGCTCCAGCATGACGAAGGATTCGGAGGAAGCGCCCGGGTGGGTGGGTGTGGCCGATGGGGGGTCCACAGAGGATTTCGAAAGACATGACCAAAGCCGCGGCAGACTCGATTTATCACCGGAAAAAGAACCAACCTGGAAGTAGTTGTGCATGATAGAAGGCAAACGCTTGTCCGCGGGGTCGGGTTGCGGCGTCGAGATGCCCGTGGGAGTGGATCCGTTGGACCCGATGTGATCGTCTTCAGGGAGGGAGCTGCGAGGTGAATATTGTGTTAGTCATGGGTTTGCATCGGTGCATTTGTAGGTGTGATTTTATAATCAATGAGAAGGTGCGAGCAGGCTCCCTCGACTGAGACTCGAACATTGGAGGAATATTCCGGCGCAGATTGTGTCAAGGTGGGGGTAGAAACCAAGGCTTTGTGTCTGATGAGACAGCGCCCGCAGGGAAAGAACATTCCATGCAATGCGGTGTGAGGGGGACCCCTATCACGAAGTCCCCTGCAAAGGCATTCACAGTTTCACCCCCAAAAATTAGAAAGGACGAACTCACTTGGTTGGCTTCATAACGGGCGTGCCGTGCAACTCGGATCCGCTCTGCGCAGCAGCCATTGCCTTTCCATCTAACACTCACAAGGCCGCCGGGAACAAAAGCGACTCGAAAAAAGCAGGAAAATCGGTATGAGAGAGCAGAGGGGGGTCGAAGTTGGTGTTGAAGTCGAAGTCGAAGGCGGGAAACGGAGGAAAAAAGAAACTTTGACGCCGCCCGATGATGAGCTAAGGGTGTTTGCGGGATGTCGTCTTGTGGTTGACCCTCGGATTCGCTCCTCTAGTATTGTCGTGGATATAGTATCCCCGGCCAGGTTTCAAGTCTCGATAGTTTTGATAATTTGGGATTCCAGAATTATCGATGGAAATTAAGGGTCTCCTCGCGAAATAGTTAGAGGGGTTTATTCCATTTCATGCCCCCCGTGGGATGTCAGTCAAGGGCTGACCATAAGCTGAGAGAGGCAAGTGGGATTATATTTAGAACGAGACAGGGGCAGCTGGTCATTTCGTCTCTTATCCGTCTTATGCTCTCTACTCTGTACATGATCTTCCAAGTATGGGAAGGCAAATTACATCCCAAAAGGAGGGCATGAAACGAGGCAATCGCGGGTGTTCGGTGACTGACCGAAGATTCTTTGCCGATACAGACTTGGACTATTGGATCGAATTATTGGTTAATTTGATTACTTCTCCATTTTGGATTCCTAATATTCCCATAATTCTCACAAGTCCGCCCAGTAGGAAGATTAGGGGGGCCACAGGCCCTCTGGAGTTCGGTCTTAGGCATTTTGCCTCCCAGGTGTCCGCCCTATGCCCGCCATACTAAAATTGGTGAACTGCGCCCTTTTTCACCTTATCAGTCGCTTACAATTCAGGAATCTCCGCTCTCCCTCTCTCCACTCCTTTCAGGGCGGGGGTACATCCTCTCTATCTTTCCTTTTTTTTTTTTTTTTATCTTCTTTTTTATCGGAGTACATCGCACCGTATTGACCCCCTTCCCACCTCAACTCGCCTTTGTACCACGAAGATCGAGTCCGATCTACACGAGTCGATCGCGATCGTGCAGCTTTCAGCTTGTGAAATGGCCCGGTCCAGCTTCTCCGCTCCCCTTGCATCTGCATACCACGGAGCTACCGACACTTTTCAGGCGTTGCTTCGGCTCTGGCGGTATGCTGAACTATGAACGATCCCCACCCTTTGCGTCATAGGGCGCCAGCCATGGAGTCCCAAGCCCAACGTGGGTGTTTTTTGGTTTGACGGATTCAACTGCCGGGGTGATGCGTGATGGATGTACGTGCCCCCAGAATGTAAGCTACAACCATAGTCGTAACTGAGAACCACCGTAAGAGAAGCAATACTCAATACTGGTTGAGCTTCCCGACGCCGTGCCGAGGCGGGGGGATCTGCGCCTGCCCCTCACCTCTTTTTGTCAGGGCAAATAGACGCGGCATTGGAAAAGAGATCCTGCGGAAGCATTCGTGGACGACCGCGATCTCCTGCCTTTAGCACCATCCCCGTATAGCCCGGGATTGGAGAAGCTAGGGGTTCGCGATATGCTTCTATCCCAATACTGACATCGCCCCGCTGACGGGTAACATTTAGGCGTCTGCATGATTCAGTGCATATGGCAGCTTCTGGAGCATGACCCGACAGGACTACGAAGATCCAATTTGTATGTCATCTGCGGACTGGGAAGGTGTGCCACGATCTGCACGCCATGCAGCCGACTCACTCCCGAGGGCTTTACTGCGTTGATGCAAGAGAAGAGCCCGACATACTTTCTGGAATCGTGGACGGCATTGGCTTGAGGTGGGATGGATTGACAGCCTTGACAGCCCATTCTTCTGCGAGGATACCGCAATCACCCTTCATCCTTCTTGTGCATATGGTCCAAGCGGCGATGGACTTCTGCATCAAAGCAGGTTTCCCCCGAAGCTCATGCCTCGCAGGCCTGCTTGGGATACCCAAACCACCAGGCTGGCTTCGCATGTGATATCCGGGAAATGTATACGGCTAAGTATATATTTTCACTCACCGATAGAAAAGTGTATTGTAGATACCCCATGTGGTTGTATAGGGTGGATAAGGTCGGTGAAATGGATGCGGCGCACGGAGCCAGTCACACAGCTCAATCCCGAAACTAAGCTGCGTACAGTCTCCAATATCGGGAGAGAACGGTGAGCTAACCGACCGGTGAGTGCTTTAGGGTACCCTATAGGCCTCTCTGCTATTCTATGGAACGCGAAATGAGCTCATCGTGCGGCCGTTCACGGCTCGACACCTCCGCACTTCACACAACGGCTATAGCACTGTCCTGATGGAGACCGAGGGCCGATGATAGAAACGGATGCAACGAAGGAGGCAGTAGAGAGTCTAGATTACAGTGCAGAGCCTGCTGATCAACAGCTCAGCATAACTTTTTGTCAGAGTTTCCCGAGATGATCCGTCAAAGCCCTTGTGTGAATTAATTGAACCCTATTTGGCGTTCCACTCTTACGTCATTCAGGGCTGTGATAGTGCCTGAGGCTGAATATGCGCTCACAGTCATGTGATATGAGAGTGTAATATATCACGTGACTGAAAGTCATCCACTGGCACGTGATATTACAGTCGGAGAAATGTTCGACCGACCGATGGATGTGAGCAAAACAGCTCTGGCTTCGACGGCGCGACTGCAAGAAGCATTGCCTATCCCTCCACCATCTTCCCCATGCCTCGAAGTCGCAGGGCAGCTGCCCAAGCGGCAGCAAAGTCAATAAGTATGTTTTACTTGTCCTCCGGCTCCCAATCTATATTCGAGGCCACGAAGAAATCCCCCTGTGAACGCGCTTGTGATTAACACTCCCTAGAAAATGTACCTACGCTCCCCGATGATGGCTCTGATGAGGATATGATGGATGCGCCTCCATCAGAACCTTCCTCTCCTGCAGTGGAAGATCACGACTCGCCCGACGATGATCCGGATGTCGAACCAGAGGCCGATCCTGAAGCTGAAGTCGAAGCCGAGAATGCGCCCGAAGAAGAGCAAGCGGAGAATACCGGTGAAGCCAAGGCTGAAGAAGAAGAAGAAGCAAGCGCCGCGATACCTGCAGCAGACGAACCCACGATACTCGAAGGAGACACACCCAGCGCCAATGCCGGCCGTCCATCCCTTCTCCCGCGCAAACGTCGCATTGGTCGTCCCCCAAAGATTCGCCCTCCGGACTGGGATGCGCCGGACGGCTCGCAGACTCCGATTCGAGTAACCACTCCGGTCAAGCGACGACGAGGTCGACCTGCTGCGAGTGGCGGACGATGGGCGCGTAACCGTGGCCCATCCCACCTTACCCAGGTGCCTGTTGACAAGGAAGGAAACATGATGGATGTGATCGGTGATGAAGTCCAGCTTCCCCCAAACCCTCAAGGAGACACCAAGGTCGATGAACATGGACGTCTGAAGGGGGGCCGCGAGTACCGTGTCCGCACTTTTACGATTATGAACCGCGATGACCGCTTGTACATGTTGTCAACGGAACCGGCGCGTTGCATTGGTTTCCGTGACTCGTATCTCTTCTTCCAAAAACACAAGATGCTCTACAAGATTATTATTGATGACGATGCGAAGCGTGATCTAATCGAGCGAGACCTTATCCCTCACTCCTACAAGGGCCGAGCCATCGGTGTGGTTACTGCCCGCTCTGTGTTCCGCGAGTTCGGAGCCAAGATCATTGTGGGAGGAAGAAAGATTATTGATGATTACGATGAAGCGGCTGCTCGTGAGCGCGGGGACGTGGAGGGTGAACTTGCTGTTCCAGAGGATAAACTACCTGGCCCTGGTGAAGAATACAACCGGAACCAGTATGTCGCGTGGCACGGCGCGAGCAGTGTTTATCACACAAATGCGCCATCGGTGCCCATGGCCGGTGGCAAGCCAGTGGACCCTAAGAAACGACGCGTACCAGTTACCGACGATAACTGGATGCTCGAACACGCCCGTGCAGCAAGGTATGTTTCTCAACTCGCGTTGCGTGATGCTTGAAACTAACATGACCCTCTAGCACCTTCAACTCCAAGCTCGCTGAATTGCGCCGTTCCACCATGGGAGGCACATACGACGTACACACCAACGCAATGCAATACCCCGAGATCATGCAACCAACCCACTGCCGCTGGGAGCCCGTCCCACCCGCCGACCTGATGATCGACATGTCCTCGTTGAGCCTCTCAAACAAAGAGTCCAGCACGAATGCCAGCGCCGACCAAACCACCACCGACCCAGCAACACCAAGCGAGCGACCCGAAGAGGAGCACCAAAGTATCTTCCGCTCTGTGCCCGCCCACATCTCCAACCGCTACGTGGTCCAAGATATTATCTACGACCCGCCCCCGTACTCCAACATGGGCCTCCCAGGTCCAGACGGCGACCTGCGCAATTTGCACCCGAACGGCCTGGCCAGCATCGCTAACCCCACTCACCCAGAGTTTATGTCTCCCGAGATCATCGCTCTGCTCCCAGAAGACGCCAAGGAGGCTCTTATCGAGTCGGCTGCGCGCGAGGTGGAGTGGAAATCAAAGTGGTCAACTGAAACCACCGATGGTGCTCGCTCACGCCCGCTCAAGAGTTATGCGTGGGCTCCATGATTTCACATATCTACTTGGTAAATATGTCTGGAGATGATCGTTTTTCACTTTAATATCCATATGGAGTTGAACCCATAGGGCGGATCTGTTTGGGACTCGGGCGAAATTTACCGGCTTAGCATGGATTGGGACGTTGGTTTTATGGCGGGTTTCAAAAAGCCATGGGAGTTTTTCTGTCATGCTCTGGTTTATGAGTTGATCTATTTGTTTTGCAACCCATGCCTGTGGGTCTCGATATGGCTCTGATGCAAGCTTCGGGTTAAATGCTTTGGTGCATATGCTAGATACCTTTCAATTGAGATGATCTCTAAATATTCTGATAGTCTGAGGGTTCTGGAGGTGATAACAGCTTACACAACCCAAGTAGAGATGCGGGAAAGAAAATGCCATAGAATGGATCCATTATCGAAACAAGCAAAGAGAAATCCCGAACTAAAAGTGGAAAGAAATACTTCGAAAGATAAGTTATGAAAACCCGGAGAGAAAAAACGGGTCAAAACACGCCGTTGAAACACCGAGGGTGAAGATGTATAGGAGAGAGAATGGGGGGACGGTGGCGCCAGAGTATAGGGCAAAAAAAAAAAAAAAAAAAAAAACACAAGAGAGGGCTTGCGAGAAAACGTCCAATGCAAAAGTAAGGGGAGACAGGAAGCCAGCCGAGGAGACAAGAACTGCGTATGCATAGATGAGGGGGGAGGAAGAGTGTTACATGGCCATTTCGGCGCGCAACTTGGCCAGTTCAGCTTCCTCGTCGTCTTCCTCTGCCATGGGCTGGGCGGGCGTCTTTCCAGCGACTGTATGTCTGTTAATATGATTTTCACGGGGTTCTGAAGAGGCATTCGACTTACGCTCCGACTTTCCTGCCTCTGGTAACCGATCCAACTGCGAGTTGACCGGCACGGGACCGGTGTTGAGCATGCGCTCGTCCATAGCCTCCTGCTCCAATCCCTCCAGTTCCGTTTCCAGTTCGTCTTCGTCAGGCTGCTCGCCAAGCGGGACGCTGGTAATCGCCGCGCCGATTTCCTCGCTGAGATGGTGTTGTTCTCGGAGTATTTCCCTGTGCGGTTATTAGTATGTAAGACCCAGCATTTGCAAGAAAGAAGTGATTGCGACATACATCGTCTCGTCGACCTGGTCGATGCTCATTCCACCGTGGATCTGCGACATCGCTGCACCGGCCTGCTTCATAGCCTGCAGAGTCTCGTGGTTGATATTGGCCGCTTCGATGGAGTAGATTTGTTGCTCGAGCTGGACGATCTGCGCTGTTGTCTGCTCGCAGTTCTTTTCGTGCACCTTTTTCCGTCGAAGGGCAGCCTTAGCAGCTGTACAGAATAGATACAGATTAGATATCAATTCCCGCGCCGTAGATAAGACAGCAAAACACAGCCTGTGAGCCAGAGGCGAGGGGGATCGTACCGTTCTTATTTGTGTTGACAAACTTGCGCGCCTCAGCATCCTGCGTCGCGATTTGGTTCTCCAAGTGCTTCTCACGTTTCTGCAACATATCCAACTGCTCCCGAAGCAGCAGGATGGCGTTCTTAGGGGCATCCTTCCGTTTCTGAGCGGCAGCGCCGCCAAACCAAGACCACATCTCGGCGGGTGTGCGAAAGAGTAATACCGGGGATTATTGATATGAGGGTGATATTTTTCGAAGACGAGGCGATTAGGCAGCGCTGTCAATGAAAAGGCAGTTGTCGCAGCGTAGATAGAGCGGCGAGTCAGACCGAGGTGGGTAGGCTCCAACCAAACCCAAATATGTGATGATCGACAAAGGAGGGATGCTGCGATGGAGACGGTCAGAGATGCCAGACAAGAGTCCAGGACACGACGTGAGGGAATTCGCAGCGTGTGTTGGAGTCACCGGATGAAGCCAAATGGAGGGGAGAGACTTTCCCCTCGATGAGCCTATGACATACTCGGGCCTATCGGCGTCACGTGCCACGTCATCCCGACTTTCGCTTCGCCTTCTTCACTTTCTTTCTACTCATGCTATGAGTGGGCCGCGCCCCTCTATTCGCGCATTTCTTTGCGAGTTACCGTGTCTACCGGCTGATTCCAAGATCCGGTTTTTGGGCTGGTGCGTTGGGGAATCTTAACTGAGAAATATACCTCACAAACCGCTACTGTTTACTAACATATCAATAGTGTGAGGCAATACAATGTCAACACTGGTCATCTTGTCCTAGAGCACAATTATCCGCGCAACAGAGAAGAGCCCATCATAGTTTCTGTGGACATCAATGCTGTCCTCGAAGACTTGACCTCTGAGGAGCTACGGGTAGGCTCATGGTTGAATGTATTGGGTTATGTCCGCGATACGACACCACCAACTGCGTCCTTTTCAACTCAACAGAGCTCTCAACGGCCAAATGAGACACCACCTACTAAATTTCCACCTCGCCCGGTCTATATTGAGGCAGTGATGGTCTTCTCTGCGGGTGCTATTGCACTGGGAGAATATGAACGGATTCTACGCAATGCGCAAGACGTGGAGCGCCGAGTTCACAACCAACCATGAGATCCATGGTGCATTATCAATTAACTTATTATCATGATTTCCATCACGAATATTTCCCGGACTTCGTTTATTCGTGATCATCAGGCACTAGACATAATGCCGCGTTCATGCAAGGACTTTTCGGCGGATCAATGGACCCGAGTTTCAAACACCGCCAAAGCAAAGACGATCTCGTGAGGGGGTATCGAGATGAATCAAACAAACCTTGGAAGCAAAAAAAATTAAAACACGCTCTCACTCGGCGTCATGCTGCTTCTCCTCATCATTTAGAGCAACAGCCTGCCGGGGCACTCTGCGCGCCCTCTTGCCCTCCAACTTCTTCTTATCCTCCTGCATACGTTGAATGAGAGTACTCTTTTGGCGGATTATATGCCCGTATTTATAAAACACAAACGGAATAGGCACAATAACCACCTCAAGTAATCCCAACAGCGTACCAGACCAGTTCGGCCCAAGACTGTCATACATGTATGATCCGGCCAGCGGAAGCACACCACCCAGAACACTACGGATGACGGAATTGCCCGCTAAAGCGGAAGCAGCGTACATACCGTAGCTACCAATGAGATAATTGGATGCATAGATGAACACACCCGTGTTGCCCGCGCCGAAGGGAATACCCGCCAGCAGCGGCACGACCCAGTGAATCGAGGCAGGAGAGCAGGTCCAGGCGAACCAGAGCTCACCAACTGGGATGAGGAGGGAACAGATACAGACGAAGGAGACCATGGCTTCGGGGTACACGCGACCCGTCTCCGGGTCGATCTTGTGGCGATTGATGAGTCGGCGCACGAGTGGTTCGCTAGCGATCGTGATAACAACGCCGATGCCGATTCCCATAAAGGCGAGACCGGATAGACCGAGGTCCCAGCCTCGAATGTCTTCGAAGACGATTGGGTAGGCGACGAAGCACAGGTATAGAATGCCGTAGATGATGGCGATGTAGATGTTCCAGAAGATGCTGGATGAGATGTTAGCCAACGCACACAACGCTATGATTTTTTCTCTTACCAAATGGGTTCGGTAACAGCCATCACGAACGGTCGGCTCAGGTTTAGCTTTAGGATCTCATAGAGGCTGGCCTTTTGGTCGTAGCGAGACCACCATCGCGAATCACCGGTTTCCTTGCGCAGCCTGGCAGCTTTCTTCTGCAGCAACGTCGGAGCGTACGTCTCCTTGAGAATCAATGCGAAGCCCAACGCCACGCCGGAAAACATCAGTGCAATCCAGCACATCCAGCGCCAGCCGAGATATTGCGTGACGAAACCTCCAATCACAGGACCCAGAACTATTCCATCCAATTAGTATATGATCTCCGCACAAGAATTCCAAGGGGACTCACCCGGTCCGTTCAACGGCCCAATACTCCAAATCGAAATAGCCAGCGCACGATGCTCATCATCCACAAGATCAGCCACCATACCCGGCGCAGTGGAGATCATGACACTGCCGAAGAAAGCACCGATGAAACGAACGACAATCAATTCCGTCACCGAGGTACCGAGCGCGCAGGGAATGATCAAGACCGTGAAGAGAGCCAGACACAAGACACAAATAGGCTTACGGCCGTAGACTTCACTCAGCGGCGCCATGAACATAGACCCGATAGCTAGACCGATGAGGTAGAACGTAAGACCTAGGGTCACGACCGTTTCAGACTTGTCGAATTCATTACCGATCTGAACCACGCCCGAAGTATAGGAGGTCGAATAAAGCACGCTGTATCTATTAGCGCGAGGGTTTTCAATCTGATTGCCAAGAGACTTACACAACCAGTGTATTCCATGACAAGAATGCCAATCCCATGGCTTTATACTTCAACGGCCAGTTCTTGGGATTCTCAGGATCATCCTCACCCTCCCAATCAACCTCGTAATTAGGATCCGCTGTCGCGTTCGTCGGGATCGTTGTAACTCGTTCCGCTAGCGACATATGATCCGACACCCGCGACGTACGCGCCGTCAGTGTCTTGCCAATCGCATCATTGTCGGCATGTGTATCCACCGAAGAGACCGTCTCCGCGATGGAATCAGTATCATGAGACACGCGCTGTGCATCCCGAGGCCATTTCTCTTGAGATTCGGCCGAAGGGCGAGGAGAAGACATCCCCACAATCGTCCCGAATGGTATTAGATCAAAGTTTCGATAGTTCAAAGAAGAGCCGAATCGGGCTCAATAGGAAAGAAAGACAAGAGCCTTGAATTAAAGTGACGATAGAGCCAGGATAATGATATTAATGGGACCCCAGCTTTCCAAGTATCACGGGGAGAGTAATATAATTTAGGAGATGCAGGCGGTTTTGTAGCAACGCTGAATCAAGCTAAACGATTAGAAAATTTCCCAAGAAGACCAGGTGGGGCTGATGATAAGCCTATGTGCCGACGATGGCGTGTCAAGTAGTGTGCTATTGCATTTCGGAGAGGAAGCCGAGTGTCCTTTTTGCAACTACATTAATTCTATATCTCACACCTTGTCCATCACAGCAGTCGTCTTGAAGATTGAATGTAATTGCTGGTATCCAGCTGTCATCCCCATGTCCTCCACAGTAAGACCGCGTGGGTACACTCAGTGGGTAGCCCCCTAATTACGGAGAACAGTGACTCCTGTGTGGGTTCCATGGCCCACGACTCGGGGGGAGGGCTTCAGTGTGCCGGTTTGCCGAATACAAAATCCCCGGTCTCGATCGTGGACCAACGACGTGACTCTGTGGTAGAGCCAAGCTATGCAACAATACGCGGGGTCGGAGTTCTATGCGTGGTTGAATTCTATAGACGCCTGATCGCAGACACACTTGCGGTGAACACTGAGAGAGCCGAGCACGGACTCAGCAGTCCAGAGTCGGCAAAGCGAAGACCCCGATCGTTGACACGGTCCCATGGGCCTCAAAGCCCGAGAGGGGAGTTGGGCCGAAGTGCACATTTGAACTTTTGTGTTTTAATTTTAATTTTCTTCAAAAGGGCGGAAATGATTCCGTTCAGGGGCCAACCCATTTTTAAGATCAACCTTGCAAAGGCAGGAACTAAGAATCGAACTAAATGGGTGGATCTCACTTTCTAGGCCTTTTTAAACATTTCTAGCGTGGAAAGTCCAGATGTCTTGAATCTTCAGCTCGCCGTTGCATTCCTAAATCAAGAAAATCTCCGAAGATTAAATGGGCGGTTAATAAAGTTGGCCAACCGGAGGAGCCAAACGACTTCGTTTAACTAACCGAGCCCGCTTCCCTAAGCGATGCTCTCGCTTGCAACATCGGGTCGAGTAGACATTGCAAGATCTGTTAAAATTTGATAATGTGATACCAATGAAATGAACTCCTTTTCGCACTTTTAGACCTTCTCTCAAAGACTTTGCGACTGCGCTTGGACTTCCCATGGCGCTTCCCGCATTATAACGCAGTCACCATCTAACTAACCTCTTGTACGAGGAGCCTCTCTGCTTCACGTGCATCTTCTGCTCTTACGATCATCCGCCATGACTTGGATGATCATCACCTCTGTGCTAGGCCTGGCAGCTGCCTACCTCAATCATGTCAACACTGCCATGAAGCGTGTGCCGGACGAGGCGCAAAAGGCATCCCCTCATCGTTGGACCGTGGAGGAGATTGAAGCCGCCTACAAGAAGAGTCTGGAATGTCCAGCCGATGCAACCAAGAGTCTGCCGCCGAAGCAGTCTCGACGGTATGTGGTTGTCGGAGGATCAGGTACGTGCTATGTGCTGCAGCCATCCCGAAAGGTTGCCAGAAAAAAAAGTGAATTCGAAACTGACATTGTCAACAGGTCTTGTTGGCGGCTGGATTGTCTCGCATCTGCTTGCCCGAGGTGAAGATCCGACCTCACTGCGTATTCTGGATCTTCTATCGCCTACCAAGGAGATTCTCGATCTGGGCGTGACCTGGGTCAAAACGAATATCACCGATGAGCTGGCCGTTTCAACGTCCTTCGAACAGCCCTGGCCTGAATCTGTTGCAAAGCTTTCCTTGACTGTCTTTCATACAGCAGCCGCAATCCGTCCGCAAGATCGCCTCGAAATGTTCCTGCCGTATTGCAGCAAGGTCAACATCGACGGCACCAAGAACGTCATGAACGCGGCCAAAAGAAGCGGCGCCAGCTGCTTCGTTTCCACCTCGTCAGGCTCCGTATCTCTGCACAAGCCGAACTTCTGGATCGCTCCATGGAGCAAGCTCCCCTCCCGTATTGTGCAGGCTATCAGCGACGATTCCAAAATCCCCGAGTACCACGACCAGTTCTTCGGTAACTACGCCGTCACCAAAATTGAAGCTGAGAGAATAGTCCGCTCTGCCGACGACCAGTCCTCCAACTTCCGCACGGGCTGTATCCGCCCCGCGAACGGCATCTACGGCATCGGCTCTGACGCCGCAATGACCATCACAGGCGTCTACCTCCGCAACCGCGGCAGCCCAACCTGGGTCCGGCCAATTATCCAAAGCTTCGTGAACGCCGAGAACGTCTCAATCGCCCACCTCCTGTATGAACAACGCCTCCTAGAACAAAGCCATCCAGGTTCCACACTGCCAAACATTGGTGGTCAGGCTTTCGTCGTAACGGACCCAAACCCAGCCATTGCATTCAGCGACATTTACACCCTTCTCACCACCTTATCCAAGACCCCAGTCGAATTCCCAACTCTGCAACCCGGCCTGCTACTCGTCTTCTCTTACCTCGTGGAATTCTACTGTGTCGTCCAGCACAAGTATCTCCCCTGGCTTCTACCCAAGCTGATTGGCGATCTGGCCCAAATGCAGCCTTCCTTATTCGCCATTTCGGATATTTTCTGCTTTGCAGATGACTCGCGTGCTCGCAAGACGCCGGAGCAGGGTGGTTTGGGCTATTCACCACCTATTAATACGCTCGATGGTATGTGTAAACAGCTGGTGGATTGGAATACCAAGGCTGAGGCGAAGTTGGTTGATATCTCTGGAAAGAATACCGTTGAGATCACCGAGAATGGGGTTGACGTTAACCTTGTTGTACCCGAGATGAAGATCTAGAGGATTTGGTATGACCCGCTTGGATAATGATATCGTCAGTTGAAACTTGCGATGAGGTTCCAGGGTTTGCAATAACTGTATCTAGTTTTATGTTTTTTACTCGCATAGCTTAGCGCTCGGAAATGATTGAATTTGGGATATCGAATTTAATTCTTCTTTCTACTACATCATAATTCTGACCTGGATTGCCATTTCATCACGGGTGCAGAAAATGTGGGTAATTCAATGCCATCTTGCTGTAGTTTCTTTCCTGCGATTTTCGATTCGAGGCTACTTTTGCTGATTTCAACTAGGCTACAGTGGAGGGGGTCCTGAGCATGCTTTCTTCAAATACAAGACTCGTTGGACAGCTTCGAGCGACGAGGTGAACTGCCGTCACTTTTCACACTAACCAGGGCATTGAAGAAACAGTAATATGTTTTATTGGAAAGCGTTCACGTCGGTTGGTTACCGGTTTCTATTTAGCACTTCTCTAAGGAACTTGATCAATGAATGTGCTCAGTTTGGGCGAGATGATCACCAACGCTATTCATTGAATCGTTACGTAAATTATATAGGATAGGGAAGGCTATGTCGGGCGCGGTGGTATCATTAATTGGAGACTATGGAGGTTGAGAGCCATGAAGAGGCCCGGACGGGATTTGTAGCGCAGCCCAGAAAAGAACGCGACAGATGGCAGAGGAAATCTGAAGCCATTTGAAAGACATCTCGACTTAGGCTAGCACTCATCTTCTGGCGTGTCTGAGTCTAACTCGATAGTTCCCGCCAAGGGCTCGCTGGTCCAAGGGATGTGGCAGCAATATCATCGACGCAAGATGCATCGGCGTCATGGGCCCTGCTTCACATTCCACGGCAGAGGGACTGCGCTTGACAAGGCGAGCGCTTCAGGCTTCATTGGCGTTTCTAGGGCACACAGAAGCAGAACAGAGCTCTTCACATGTGAAAAAAAAAGTTCCACGAGACAAAGCGCAGTGCAACATTCCCAGACTTGACGGAATCATGCATCCTAGTGGCAATAAATAGTGGACTCCCAATCAAAGGGGTCGTACAGGACGGAGAGCCATTTACCGGGGCTGCTGGGCGGCCTGGCGTCTGTGGTCCAAAATCTGCTGGCGCAGTCCTTCGGACGCCAACTCGACATCCAGAACGGCTCCGACACCGCGCTTCCATGTCTCCTCGAGACTGACCATCTCGCCGTGGCTAGCTTCCTGGGCAATCTTGCGCTGCTTGTTGACCTCCTCTGAAGCCTCCTTGGTATCGGCCAGCTCTTTCTCAATGCCTCGCAGGATATCTTCTAGCTGGGAGTTGCCGATCAGCCACGCGTTTCTGCCGCCCTCTTCGAGGAGAGAGAGGTTCTCGTGGCGTTTAGTGAGATGTGATGATGAGACGTAGGCCTTCTGCAGAGCCTGGCGCCATTCGTCTAAGTTGGGAGCTTCATTGTCGTTGGCGCGAGTTGGAGGTTCCGGGGCCTCGTAGCGAGTTAGGTCAATGCCACCGGTGAGAGGTACGCCGGCTTCCTTGCGCGAGAGTTCTTGTTGGATCAGAGGGGAGAATTGAGCTTCAGGGGCGGCGGGAATTGAGGGGTGGAAGGTTGTGGCGTGTTCGGGGGCAAGCTCGGAGTTGATGAGCTGCTGGGCTTGCTGTCGCGCAGAGGCTGAGGGCGCAGCGTCAAGATCTGTGGTATTATTAGCTAAGGTCCAGGATTGATCGGAGATGCGACGACATACAGGGCAAGGAGTCGTGGGATTCGTTAATGAGTGACATTTTTGAGATTAAGTGCAATAGATGTTCTATTATAAAGTCGACGGTGAAGACATTCGAACGAGGCTGCGCATGGAGGCGGTATATCACGTGACTATATGCGACGGGGTCCACTTATACAAGTCTACTGTATTGGCTGGCTCCACTGCAGCTTAAAGCCCCGAGATGCAGTAGATCCCAACTTATCGGACATATTATAGCCAATAGCTAGGAGTTGAAAGATGGTGCAACTATGATCATTCCTACTGTACAGACTTGGGACTAGCTCCTGCCATGATCCCTGGTTACCCCAAGGGCAGGTACATGGCCGAGGTCCCGAAGCTTAAACAAGAAGCCTAGGCAGCTCGTGTATGTGATCTACGGTACGATATCCAAGAGTTATCAAGAAGATATCGGGCACATCTATCACTCCGTGCGGGGAAACAGGGTCGAGTCTAGCCCCAAAGGAGCTTGCGGAATGCTGGTGCATGACGATCCCTGGCCCTGCAGGGTTCACGGTGCCCTGTGCCTCTCCCATCACACGTCGCTTAGAGAGATTCAATACAACCTTTGTGAAGACAGCCCGACACGGTTAATGCTGAATCCCTACCAAGCCAGGATAACGATCTTCAAGACCTATGCCTGACTTTCCGGTCATGAGCCCTCTGCCAGAGCTTTAAGAACTCGTCAACCTCCCAGGGCCTCGTGCCTCAAGGTCTCCTTGTTACCCTGATTTTACAATTCGTCCCCCGGATCTAACATGGCTAATCTTAGATTGGGCATAGCTCTTGGCGTGCTCACTTTGACCTTGTTGGTGTTCATGCAACTGCTCGCTGCGCTGCACACCAGCTTCGAGATCCCTGCGTCCAGCTTCAGTAGGAGCTTCAACCAGTGGAAAAGTCGAACGAATGCAGCAAAGACCACGAGCAATGACCTCTTCCTGGTGGGGGCTGGCAAGGCGGATGTAACTGGGTATGTTCTTCACATTCCCTAATCAAAATGGTCGGTCACGATTAACATGCGTTTGTAGGCCTGTGGTTGAGGTTGACTTTAACGGATACGCGACTCTTGACCAGCTGGGAACAGGCTTGCGACAGAGACTCTACGCTCGGTCATTCATCTTTGCAAATCCTAACAAGCCTGATGACTCTTTCATCTATGTTGTTCTCGACACGCTTGCCGGCGACACTGCCGTTAGACATGGGGTCCTGCAGGGACTCTCGGCGCTAGGCGGCGATTATGCCCACTATGGCGAGCACAACCTTGCGCTGACAGGAACTCACTCTCATTCCGGCCCCGGAGCCTGGATGAATTATCTCCTGCCTCAAATCCCCACTAAAGGGTTTGACAAGCAGAGCTACCAGGCTATTGTGGATGGCACGATCCTATCTATTAAACGCGCACATGAAAACTTGACGCCAGGCCGTCTCTCGTCCGGATCTATCGAGCTTGACGATGCCAATACCAACCGCAGCCCTTATTCATATGACCAGAACCCGGAGGAAGAAAAGGCTCGATACTCGGCCAATGTTGACAAGACGCTGACCCTCTTGCGATTTGATCGCGATTCAGATAACAAGACTGCAGCTGTTTTGACCTGGTTCCCCGTACACGGCACTTCCATGTATAACAATAACACCCTAGTCACTGGCGATAATAAGGGAGTTGCCGCTTACCTATTCGAGCGCAGTGTTAAAGGCGATGCAAGATTTGCCGACGATGTTGTCATTGGCTTCTCGCAGGCCAACGTCGGAGACACAAGCCCGAACATTCTGGGTGCATGGTGTGAGGATGGGTCCAACAAGATGTGTACCTATGCCGACAGTACTTGTGGGGGTACTAACGAGGCCTGCCATGGCAGGGGTCCCTTTTTCCGCGAGAAGGACAACGGAGCGAAGAGTTGTTTCGAGATCGGTAAACGCCAGTACAGCGCTGCTAAAACGCTTTATGAGCAGATGGAATCCACCCCTGTTCTTACTGGTGATGTCAGATCGTTCCATGTTTTCCAGGATATGAACGGCTACACCTTCACGTCACCGTTCAATGGGTCTATATTGAAGACATGCCCAGCAGCACTGGGCTATTCATTTGCAGCGGGGACTACAGATGGACCCGGGGCGTTCGACTTTACCCAGAATTCCACGGGCCCATCTACCAATAACCCTCTATGGCTTGTCGCACGGGCATTTATCCATCAACCCAGTAAAGCACAGCAGCAGTGCCAAGGAGCCAAAGACATCCTCCTGGATGTAGGAACCCTCACCGAGCCCTACGCCTGGGCTGCAGACATCGTTGATATTCAGGTTCTCCGAGTAGGGCAGCTATTTATTATCATATCGACTTCTGAGGCCACGACAATGTCTGGAAGACGCTGGAAGGAGGCAATCGCGAAGCAAGCGACAGAACTCGGGATATCAGATCCCCAAGTAGTGCTGGGAGCACCGTCAAACAGCTACGCTCACTATGTCGCGACTGAGGAAGAATACAGCGTCCAGCGCTACGAGGGCGCATCTACTCTCTATGGACCAAACGAGCTTGCAGCCTATATCAACCTGACCCTCACCTATCTCCCGTACCTGGGAAGCGCCTCAGATATAGCCAAACTACCCGATCTCCCCGCCGGTCCCAGCCCCCCAATCAACACGAATAATTCCCTCAGCTTCATTACAGGAGTTGTCTACGATTCAGCGCCCATCGGCAAATCCTACGGAGACGTGACTGCCAACCCTGGCGCTGGGCCCTTCAAGCCAGGCGACACGGTCAATACAACATTTGTCGGCGCCAACCCCCGCAATGACCTCCGCCAGGAATCGACCTATGCCGCGGTGGAAATGAAGAACGCTGAAACTGGTGATTGGGAAGTTGTACGCAACGACCACGACTGGAATCTGGTGTTTAATTGGAAGCGAACCCATTTCATTCTCGGATATAGTGAAGTCACGATTCAATGGAACATCGAAGATGACTACTATGGTGTGGATGATCCGAAACCCGTGCAGAGTGGCACATATCGACTGCACTACTATGGGGAATCCAAGAATGCGCTAGGGCAGATCTCGTCGTTTGAGGGGATTGGAGCGAGCTTTACAGTGGCTACCTAGAGATCCCTCGGAGCCAGGCAGAGAGCAGACCGGCGAGAAGAATACATTAGTTAATGCAATGAGTCAATGGAAGCCTTGGGGTCTGGTACATGAAGGGTAATGCAAGTTAAGACAAGCTAGGCCTCCAGCTCTCCCGAGAAGATAATCTAGAGGGGCTTCTACACTTAATTCTTCAGCTCTATCTCGAGATCTTTCTGGACACTTCTTCTCAGACATCCCTTTTAGACATCTTTTTGATCCTTTGCCAAGGTATCCCCTCTAACCGATTTTGCATACCTCCGGTCGCGACCAGTCACGGCCGCCAATTTAGAGCCAATTGTTGAATGTTCCTGGTCCGGCTGTACGCGCCCTGAATAACGAGGTGGGCCCAATGACGGGGCTAAGCGCCGAACCGGGGGTTCTTTGTCTACGCGCCTTTTTATTTGCCATTGTTTGCTATTTACAATTTGCAATATTCCATTTTCTATTTACAGTGAAACGTCGTCCCAGAAAGCGCCTGCTCTTTCATCTTGCACCTTCCACCAGGGACTAGGTACCCACCTTAACCCTGATTCTTCATGTTAAGATGCCGGCCTAGAACTTTGCCCTCGAGATGCTTTCCTTATTTTATCTCCTTGGTTTTCTTTCGCGTCTTAGATTGCCTCATTCTTTTTTCTGGTGCGAAACTAAGCCATTCTTTTCCTTTCCTTCTTTCCTTCTTTCCTTTCCTTCTCTCCTTCCAGTTCCTACTCTGCTCGCCAAGCCATACTATCATTGACTACTTCTACTACGAGATATCGACTGCCATGGGCTCCTTTGGCATACTTGCTTTGTGATCTATTGAGTCTGTAGCTTACATCTCCTATTGACCCACTGCTTTTTATTCCGTCTCGTTCCGTTCATCTTCTTGGCGGTCTTCGTCCTCTCGTTTGTTGCTGAGCCCAAGGCTTCTTAGGCCGAAGATATGCTCTTCGCTCGCTATTTCGTTCTTTTCGCTTTCGCGTGGACTTGCTCGGCTGGTCCGATCGCCCGCTCTCTTGTTTCGACTCCAGTCACTGCCTCCGCCGCTGCTTCAACCGGAATTGCTTCGTCGCCTGCTGCGGAGGAAGCAGGTGGAATCTTGACTGTCATTCCTGTCACGCCATCATGGCTGCTTTCTTCTTCAGTGTCGGTGGAGACATTTTCTACGCCTTCTACGTCTCCATCTTCGGTTGGATTTACCCAGACTGCCGATGAATCGTCCTCTATACAGGGCGATGGGCGGACAATGCCCCTTGTCGTGTACGCATCTTCTACAACGCCTACACCAGAGGATGTCACCCCTTCTTCAGCACCCGTCACTGCGAGTCCGAGCCTGTCAAAAACATCAAAAACACCGGAACTACCTTCAACTTGGACACTCTTTAATGAGAGTACTAGCGGCTCTGTGCCGACTTCTGCATCTCCAATACCTAGTTCCACCACGGCCAAAACGAGCAGTTCATCTGCCAAATTGCCAGTCTCGTCTTCAGCCAGTCCTAGCTATACAACTTCTAGCCATGAAGTCGTGTCTAGCAAGTCTGTTCAGTCCTCCCCCATGGGAGTCGTTGGGCCTCTCCGATCGAGTCGCACGACGACATATAGTACACGCGTCCAGGCATCGCAGAGTGCCACTCCGATAGGGACTCAATCAGATGCTACGAATATAACCTCTACTTCGTCCCAAGAGCCTGCGTCGACGCATGCGAGTACTTCCTCATCACCAGTGTATGAAAGTACCGCCAGCCCGTCAGCTGCAGCGGCAACAAGCCTACCTGTTGGCGCCGTCGGTCTCATCTCCGGCTTGAGCAGTAGCATAAGTCAATCTACCCCATCAGCACCCGTAACTCCGACTACGATAATGCCCACCACGACATCATCGTCTACTCTAATCACATCGCCTGCTACAACGGCAACTTCCACAGAATCTGTTTCAGATGCCGAAAAACTGCACACAGTTATAGGGTCTGTGATTGTCTGGGTACCAGGAAGTGGCGAGTCTGCGCTCACTACACAGACAATTTTGCCCACTTCTACAAAGACTTCTACTCCTGAGACCTCCACCACTTCGCAGCACACGACTTTCTCTCCTGTCGAGGCCACTACTTCTCTAAGAACAACATCTACTTCTCTCGAGGCCATCACTTCGCACGAAACAAGCACCTCCACCTCAACCTCAACTTCAATTACAACAGAAAACCCGTCCGAAACTACTCCCACTTCTACTTCCATAGTTTCAACCTCGCCCTTAGCACCTACCACAACCCACGAGCCGGAAACCGTCACTGTGCAAGACATATCGACGATAAAAGTGACGGTGACAATTTCCGGCCCAATAGTCACCATCACCCCGGCCTTGTCATCCACCAGCACCAGCGCAACACCTACAACCACCGAGGATACCGTGGAAACAATCACGATCCACAACACAGCGATTGAGAGCGTCACTGTGACCATTCCCGGCCTCACGATCACAGTCACACCGACGCCGACAACTACGATTTCGAGCTCTACTTCGACCTTACCAGGTGCATTATCCGTGATTCCAGTGACACCCAGCAATTTCATCACAATCATTGAGACCGAGACCGTGACGACGACTGCTACTATGACAATCTCGACGTCTTAGGTGTTGTGCACTCTTTCCATCATTTTTGAATGTTTGTTTGTTTTTATCTCTGTCTTTCTACAGGTGCATGTTTCCTTATCTTGTAACTACCTAATACCCGTAATTCATTTTATATGCCGTTATACGTATCTACAGTAGAGTGTATTGCAATGCTGAGATGCCGTCAAATGATGCTGTAGTCCAGATTTTCTTGGAATAGGGCCTTCATCCCAATGGAGAAGAAGTATGGTGGCCAGAACGAACGGAGTCTGAAAGTCATGACCTTGATGGCGAGATTTTCAACAGTGAGGACGATATTCTACAGTGTTTTGACTTTGGCACATTCTTGAATTCTGGAAACGGTGACGAAGATCCTATGACTCTGGCCATTGACAAATCTGTGGTACGACGCTGCATGCCCAAGATATATGGTGCAAGTAACATTGTCGTAGTTCGGCGTTCTGCTCTCCACCTATCTGTCGAGCTTTCTTTAGGCCAACCATTAGAGACGAGAGCCCTCCAAATACTGGAAGTGGCTACTAGCGTCTGAAATTCATCCTAGCATCCTAGAGGAGAACGACCGTCTCATCTAAGTAGAGGTCAGGTCTTTCGAGTAGGTAGTCGCACAGTGCTTCTTGAATTTGATGCCGTTATGGTTGGTCGTTGGCCGATCTCAACTTGTGGCTAGTTCAAATCAAACCACTTTCCAACTATACCGAAATTATGTCTAGATTTCTAATTATTCATCCCGCTACAACCACTGCTCGAAGGTGACGTGAAGCTAATATTACACGGCACATATTGACCCTTGTCAAACAGGCTAAATTACAACTCGGAGAAGAAACCCCCAACATCAGCAAATTTCAGCTGGTACTCTTTCAAGCTAGCCCACTGACTCAGCTCCTCCTGGTCACGCTCATAATCACTCAGGTAGCTCATTGCGCGCCCGTTTCCATGCGGACTCATGCCCTCGGTTCCGCTGCCCGGATCTGTGGTTGCGGAGGCATGGCCTTCGAGGCGGATCAGGGTATCGATGAAGGCGTGGAGGTAGGATTCCGCTTCGGCGGATGTAAGGACGTGGAGATTCGAGGTGTTCGGACTCGGGTTAGATACTGCCGCTGGAGGGGTGACCAATGGGTTTTCGGTTGGGATGGTTGTTGTTGTTTCGTTAAGAAGGGTGGATGCTACTTGACGGATTTTGGTTGTCTGGTTTGGTATTAGTTTGTCGTTTGGAATAAGGATTGTGGAATAGGACTTACAATGCTGCCGCCGTTGGGCTCCATGTTTACTTCGTTGACAGTACGCAGGAGGATGAAGAACTCCTTGATAACCAATTTGCGCTCCTCGGCCATCATGCGGCCAATGGAGTCTGTGTGCACGTGTGCCAGAGCCTGTGAGGAGATACTCGGGCCCGCCGTCGAGACTTGCTCAGCAGGTGCCTCTGATGACGGCTCAGGTTTGATGTGCGGTGTGGCAGGCGTCGGGATGGATAACTTCGCCGAATTACCATATTTAGTGAATGTCTCAAAGAGATTCCAGTATTTTTCAACAAGGTATGACCTTGTGCAGAGTTGGCTGGCATAAATATTGGCCTTCTGTATCTCATACTGAATTGCGCGGCGTTCCTGATGAATATGGTCATGCGGGTAGTCGAATATCGAGCCGTCCTCGTTCAGCCCGGACAGTCCAGCGGGGGAGATTTGCTTGGGGTGGAAGAGAGACAGCTCGACGGGGACATTTGAAAGCGCAGACTTTGCCTTTTGGAGGCATTCCCACAAACAAGAGCGCTGTTGCTCCCAATCAAAGATCTGGCCACTGCCAAACGCAATATCCCAAGCTAACAAGGCGTTGTTCGAGCTGTACACCCGAACATTTGCGTTGAAGGCGACAAGTTGTGATACCCGATCTGCAGGCTGAGCGCTGACATGGGTGGAAAAGAGGAACTCGTCGTCAATTTCGAGTGGGAGCGGTGGATACCGATCAGTTGGGGTCTCCGGAGGTATTTGAACCCTGATATCGGAAGAACCCATCTGATGCAGAGTTTGATATCCAACCAATGTGACATAGAATAGCCGACGGCCCAACTCCTGGGTTATCAGATCTACCGTAGTATTGTCTGTAAGATTCTGGGCCGGCTGATCATGCGTCATTGCTGATGCTGGGGACATTGGGCCCGTGGCGTTTATTCCGGGTGCAGAGGGAAGATTTGTAGGAGAACGACACATGTCATATACCTGAATCATAGTGCGACATTCCGCCAGATAGACACGGCATCGGCGCATACTGTAGATGTAGCCGGAACATAGCCCTAAGAAATAGCTCGTGGCTGCATCGTAAACTGTCGCGTTGCGGTCAAGATACCCAATGCCTCGGGCTTGGATGGCAACATCGTGGCAACGTTTTACCAATGCTATGGAGTTCGGGAACGCAGAACGTTCGGCCTCGGTGTTGAGCCGTAATTTGGGTCGCCGGGGAAAGGAGGCCACGAGAACCCCTATCATGGAAGCCAAGAGGGCTAAGAAAGTGCCGCTAGTGGTATCCTCGCGGCGTTCAAAGGCAGCGCGGAAAGTAGGTTCATGAGGAACGGGAACCAAGGGATGAATGTACATGAAGAAATCGTCCAGGAGCAGCTGCACCGTGTGCAACGAACATATGGCTTCCGCAGAAGCGGGAAACAATGTCGTTGACGAATGAATCGAAGCAGCATATGGCTGAGGTGTGCTCGGCAATGGATATTCAGGCAAGCTAGCCGGTGAATTATCCGGCTGGGCTTCGAGCTTTTGCTTTTTCAAGTTTTCAGCATGCCGATTTGGAGGTCCTCTTCTCCTGCTTGGTCTCGAAAAAGTGCACGGAATATCCAGCGTAGCGCAAGATCGACAAGGTGGACCACTGACATCACACTTCCCTTCTGATTAGCATTTGTACAGGAGATGGCAGTCGTGAGGCTAACCAACCTTCACCTTGCGAATACTACAGGCATCACATGCCTTGCGCAGTCGCGTTTTGGCATCCATTTGCAAGTATTTGAGACAGTCGAACTGACCGACCATTCAACCCTCAAAGCATATTCGCCAAGAGAGACGTATAGGCTGCTTGGCGCAAGGGTCTGATGCATCCAGTGACTGCGGGGGACCCTTGACTGACCCACACGGCAGCAGAACGGGTGGGATTAGGGTGGGATTCGAGGGGCAACTTATTGGCAGATATTCCTCAGCTCTGTTGCAACCCGGAAAGCGTGCGACCGATCCAACAAAGAATCTCGTGTCTTTTTCCTAAATCGCGGATTGCCGGAATTAACGGTTGAGTGCAGGCCTAATGTCTGGATCGAAGGCGGAGATAGTGATCCAAGTGATCCAAAAGATCCAGGGCTGGGTGACGGTCGCACTGAAAGACCGCTTGACGTGGAATCTCCGGACGAAACAGTCCAAGCACTCGAGTGCCCTGATCCTAGCTAAGAACAATTCAAGTGCGGAACGAAGCCTACGGGGAAGTTGCAGCCCGCCGAGGCAATGGTCACGTGAGCTACGTAATTCTAAGGGGAAGCGCAATTCCAAAGTCAAAATGAGCCCCGGCGCCGTGGGATTGGGTGTTGGCAGCACTCGGAGTGGGCTTGCCCCGTTTTTATGTATCGGGTGGAAAGTAGGATTCAATTTTAAGGAAGACCACCACTCGGCTGTTTCATATATTCATGACCACATAACCATGGGATCATACCGGATCGTCGCGGTAACCATGACCTAGTCGGTCGGGTCGCTGGTTTGCAAGTTGTCGCTTACGCTGGAGATCTGCAGCCCACAAGGCTGCACCTGAGGCAGTGGTCATGAGGAATAACATAGAGAAGGGGGGAATCAATTGAAGAACCATGGCGACCGTCCCGAATCTGTCATCGTCAGTACAGCCCTTGTACAAGTATATCGTGAACACTCACGTCGTATATTGCAGCTGTCGTCGAGCCACACTGTCTTTCCTCTCTTGTTTGGTGAAATCCAGTAGCTGGAAATAGCGCCAGTGGTGAAACGGACCCGCCCGGTAACCGGTCAGAATTAGGAACATCGGTGTACCCGCAACAGGAATAAAGTTCAACGGTAGCAGAATGATGAATTCGAGAATCTGCCGAAGAGAAAATGGAGCGTAGACCGCGCTCGTGGTCGGGGTGCCGAGTCGGCTGCTGGAGTCACCGGCCTCGGGATAGATTACTCGGGAGGCGGTTACAAGCTCTTCCTGGCCCTCATTTACCAAAACAGAATCGAATATATCCACCAGCGTCTCGTCCACGAAGAAGGCCTCAAACAAGGCAGCAACAATGGCGGCGCCCTCCCCGAGGACTAAGAAAGCTCCGTTGATCCACGCCCCAGCTCCCTGGAAGATAGCCAGGAAGGCCACTTGCGGCAGGTAAGTGAAGAAGAAGAGGAGGAAGTATACGAAGCTGGAGACGAGGACAATAGGGAGCAGGCGAGCCTTGAATAACGGCCAGAGGAACCGGTGGGTCGCGAAATAGTGAATTCCCTAATGTTGGTCAGTATACTGAGCGGGGAGAACCCAAGTAGACCCGCATTGATACCTTGAGAGGATACAGCCATGCTGCACGAGTAGGATCCAAAGACGCCATGCTGGAGAGGTGGCTGAAGCTGCAAAGGGACCTCGAACGAAGTCCAGGAATGTAAAAAGGCGCCCGCCGGTACCTCTTATCGATAACGATCACGTGTATATTAGTCATCATTGGCTACTTGTACCGAAATTTTCGCGCTCAGATTTTCTTTTCTTCACATAAACTGAACTCCTTCTTTATTCACTCGCGAACCCACATTTAATGGGTTCTCCGAGGGGAAAGAGAAGGATAGACTGATTTCTTGCTGGCTTACCCCTAACTCTTCTTGATACGTGGAGCGTTGGGAAATATTTTCAGCGGTACATTCCCCCTTTTCTTTCCATTTGGTTATATCACGCTCGGTGGATCTCCTCTACGATCTGCTCCAGGCTGTGTACAATTGCTGTTGGCTGTAGAGTTGGTACGGCGGCATCTTGCCAGCCTTTGTTGGCTCGGTCAACCCAGATGGCATTCATGCCAGCGTTGCGCGCTCCGACGATGTCGAATGGGTTCCCGCTTATGAGCCACATCTCGTTCATCTGCGAGGACTGCTTGCCGACTTTCTCGGCGAGGTGCTTGTAGCTTTCGACCGATGGCTTGTATCGTTTGATGTCCTCGACAGAGATCAGGTCATGGAAGATGCTCGAGTGCGTAGCCAAGCCTGCCGAGTCTTTGACCGAGCTGCGAATTGCCTTGCTATCCCCGTTTGAGAATATTACGGGATAGATGGTTTTGGTGGCTGCCACTCGGTTCAAAGCTGGCTGGACATCGACGAATGTAGCCAGGCTGTCATAGGCTTTCATCACGCTTTCTTGGTCCTCGGCACTGAGTTGCTCGCCGTGTTCCGCCAGGGCGTGGAGCAGCGAGTTCTGGGTGACATGATAAAAAGTCTCCCAGCGTCCTGATATGCTGTTAGATCTGAACAATCGGTATATGCGGTGTAGCCTACCCATGCTGTTGAGTCTCCATGTATACTCCAACTGGTATCGTCTCCATAGCGTCGAGATGGACTCTGCTTTGGATCCAACAAGCTTTTCCAGCTTCTTTACAATGGAGTCTGTAGACAATAAAGTACCGTATAGGTCAAATGCAACAACAGTTTTGTCCGCCATGATTGTTGGATGAGTTAGAAAGAGACTTGAAGCTTTGGTTGAAAGTGTATTGCGGATGATGTCAATCTGCCGTTGGCCTCGGCGACGCGGGGTAATCTCCAATTTTTTTCCAGCTTGCAACTCCAAACTACAGTGGGTGCGTTACTGGAACCATGAAACGCACGCCCCCTCAATGACATCCGATGAAAACTATACCGTCTTCAGAGAATGTCTCTCGAGTGCCATCGTCGCCCGTTCCGAGGACAAACCCAAGACGGTCAAACGACGACAGAAGCCTAAGCGCAATGGACGCAAAGACGAGACGACTAGCTCGGAAATAGCCACAAAATACACACGAGCCGATCCGGAAGAGTTGGCCGAGTTCATCGATGTAAATCCAGCCCACTCTGACTTCCGAAAAGCCTTCACCGAAAGACGCAAGACACCAAAAATAGCTAACAAGCTCTGCAAAAGTAGTTCATCGCCTCCGAAACCTTCACCTCCTTCCCCGAAGACCTCCAAACCCTCTCCTACGCCGCAATCCAACACAACACAAACCTCGCAACCCTCTACATCCCACCAGAAACAGACACCCCGCTCCCCCGCACCACCCTCGAATCCCTCTGCATTATAATCCCAGTCGACGTAACAGATTCCCTAACGGTCTATGGCATTCTCCCTGCAGCAGACGACTTTCCCGAATTTATATCCCCCGTTTTAACAGAATACGTAACTAGCGTGACGAGCGGGCCGCCAGCATGGTCAAATACACGTACTGATGCATGCGAGATATGCGAGCGGGATTGGATCCCACTATCATATCACCATCTCATACCGCGCGGTGTGCATGCGAAGGTGATCAAGAAGGGATGGCACGATGAATGGATGTTGAACAGCGTTGCGTGGCTTTGTCGGGCATGTCATAGTTTCGTGCATCGGATGGCGAGTAACGAGGAGCTTGCTAGGGAGTGGTTCACTATTGATCGGATATGCGAGAGGGAGGATGTGCAGGATTGGGCGAAGTGGGTTGGGAGGGTGAGATGGAAGGCGAAGTAGATCCGATTTATATGTGGCTATAGAATATCCATGGTCATTCTGCCGGGCCGAGAATATAGTACAGATCGTTCTGTGAAGGCGGCTGTGACAAAAGTGTTCGTTATAGAAACGAGAACTTAGGATAAGGTCCAAAAAGAAGACAGGAAGGAGAGTGAGATTTCGGGAAAACAGCGAGGAAGAACTTGAGATTCTAGTGCATGAGCCTACTTAGGTTATCTTCTGGGCCAGGCTGGACAATGAAATGGTGTTTAGGAATTGATTCTCTATTGTACATTGAACATTGATATTGCAAATAATTACATCCAGTGTATGCTCGCATCATCCCCAATTTTGCATGAAACGAGATTTGAACGCCACGACCCTGATGCAGACTATGTCAAATGATGGAAGATTGTATGGTACAAACTAGGAGAGAAAGGGGATCGAGAGCGCCGAAATCAATTCTAAAAATACAGCGGTTTGGATGCCGCAGGGTGAGCTTTGGTGGCTCACAGGAAGCGTTTCTCGGAGATCTCTTCGTAGCACTGGATGTGGTCGCCGACTGCGAATTCGGTCCAGCCTTCGAAGGCGATACCGCACTCGGTGTCTTTGCGCATTTCGGTCACGTCCTTCTTGACGTTCTTGAGGGAAGACATTGTGCCTAGAAGCGTGTTAGTATGGGCCAAATATGGATTGTGTCTTGTGAGCGGGTTTCTTACCATCGTAGATTGTCTCATTGCCGCGGATCACTCTGACCTTGCGAGTCTTGTTCATCATACCATTGCGAACACGACAGCCGGCAATAGCAGTCTTTTCACGTCCCTTGACGGTGATTTCAAACACTTGCTGCACCTCGGCTTCACCGGTAACACGCTGAGTGATTGTAGGTGGGAGCTGCTCGCTGAGAACAGCTTTGACCTCATCGATGAGCTTGTAGATGATGTTGTGGTCCATGATCTTCACTCCCTCCGACTCGGCGATGCGTGACATGTTGGGATCAATGGGCATGTTGAACGAGATGACGAGACCGTTAGCACTAGCCGCATGTTCAATGTCGAACTCGCTGATGGGGCCGACACTCGAACGAAGAACATTCGCATACACTTCATTGGTACCGATGGCGGCGATCGAGTTCAGCACAGCCTCAGCAGAACCGTCGACATCGGCCTTGATGATAAAGTTGACAGGCTTCGGACCGGTCGGTTCTGAGACGTCAGCCTCTTCATCCGTCTTCTCGAGTCTGCGTTTCTCGAGACGTGCTTCGTTGATGGCGGCCATGTCCTCGCCCATCTTCACGGTTTCAGAGCGCTCCAAACGGTAGTCCACGGCTTCTTTGGCCCTTTGTTCGGTGGGCGCCTGCAGAATTTCAGTACCTGCAGCTGGTTGATCCCTCCAGCCATCGATCTCGACTGGCATGCCTGGTGTAGCTTCGCTGATGGCCACGCCAGCCTCGTTGCGCAGAGTACGCACACGAGCCCAGGTAGTTCCAGCAACAATAATATCACCTGGCCGCAAGGTACCGCGGCGGATAAGGGCTGATGCAACTCGACCGTAGCTCTTGGTTGAGGCCTCGAGGACCCATCCCTCGGCATTGCACTCGGTGTCAGCGCGATGGTCAAGCATCTCCGAAAGCGCTCCAATGGCCTCTTCGAGCTCAATCATTCCTGCTCCGGTCTTGCCGCTCACGCCAATTGCCTGAACATCACCGCCGTAGTCTTCCACATGAACACCGTGAACAGAGAGGTCCTGCTTGACCTTGTCCGGGTTGCAACCCTCCTTGTCGATCTTGCTCATGGCAACAATGACAGGGACATTGGCTTGTGTGGCATGCTTGATAGCTTCAATAGTCTGTGGCTTGACACTGTCGTCAGCTGCCACTACAAGGACCACAATATCGGTGACATCGGCTCCACGACGGCGCATTTCCAAGAAAGCGGAGTGACCAGGAGTATCCAAGAAAGTAATCATCTTGCCAGAAGGCATTGGCACGGAGAAGGCACCAATATGTTGAGTAATACCACCGTGCTCGCCGGCTGCTACAGATGACTTGCGCAGCCAATCCAAAATGGTGGTTTTGCCATGATCAACGTGACCCATGATGGTAACAACTGGCGGACGAGTGGGCAAATCGGATGCATCCTCTGGCGGCGGTGCCGCCGTCAGGTCTGCTGTTCCATCGTCAAAGATAGCCTCGTAGTTGAATTCGGCTGCCACCAGACCGGCGGTCTCCGCATCCAGCACATGGTCATAATGAACATCCTCGAAGCCCATGTCTTCCATGCGCGAGACGAAGTTCGCTGGCCGAACACCGATCACGTCGGCCAGGTTGCTGACGCTGATAAACTCAGGGAGATAGAGCGGTGCAGGAGGTGCCGCTTCTACCTTCCTAGAACCCTTATCCTTCTTCTTGCGCTTCCGATCGTCACGACGGCGGTTGCGGTCTTCGACATCGAAGTCAGCGTCCTGCGAATCAGATTGACGTCCCTTGCGATCGTCACGACGCTTCGACTTCTTCTGGATTCCGGCTTGTGGCTCAGTCTCCATGGATCCCATCTTCTCTAGGGCAGACATATCCCAGGTCCATTGATCCTTTAGATCCTCCTGCTTCTCAGTCTTCTTTTCTTTCTCTGCCTTTTGTGCCTTCTTCTTTTCCTTCTCCTTTGCTTCCACATCCTCGCCTCCTCGGTCATCCTGTCGGGCACCACCGCGGCTCTCCTGCTCATGGTCGACCAGTATCGATCGACCCAAATCTTGGTATTTATTCGCTCCCCGCTTCTCATTCATGGCCGGGCGCCATGGTAAACCATCAGGCTTTTGATGACCACAGGCCGGGCACTCTGTCTTCCACGAAAACACATTATTCTTGCACCCAGGGCAGCTCCAATCATGCTTGAACTGTTTGTCCTTTTGGGCCTTGGCCTTCGGGGGACCCTTCAGTGCAGCCGTAAATGCCGGTTTGGGCGCATTACAGGATGGACACGCATCAAACTTCTTGAAAACGCGCGTGGCGCACACGGGACATCTCCAATTTCTTTTGCCTTGGGATTTGTCCTGATCCGATTTCTCATCTGTCGTAATCGTGCGCTGCCTTGGCCGAAGACCAACGTGACCGTGCTCATTGCGAGATCCACCGATGTATTGGTCTGTTCCTGGGACTCGTTGTCTCGATTCAGGTCGTTTCGTAGGTTCTGGCGTAGGAGGCGGTTTATTCCTTTCGACGATGGAATCACGCAGTGCTTGCTCCGCAGCACTTAGACCGGTAGGCTTGGGTGCCTGTTTGCTCGCCCATCGGTTCCCAAAGCCTCCGAACTTGGGGGTCATAGGCTTGGGAGCGGCGCCCTCACCATTGTCGTTTCCAGACTCATTGAGCCGGATCGCGGATGATTGAAAGGTCCGAGTACATGTTCGGTTCGACGAGGATGGAGTCGTTGATAAATCAACTCGGCGCGAGAGCTAGAAAGAGTCAGCGCGTAATGCGGAAGAGAGGTTGCTCGACACGTACCCTTAATACAGCTCGCCGATGCATTCTGCAGTAGACCTCAAGCTCCACTGTTGATTGTCAGCGACTTTTCGCGACAGCCGTCTTGCGCTTACGTAATGTTTCCCGAGGGCAAGCGTTTCCCGTCGGCGCAACGTGCGAATCAGAGCTCGAATGGCGCCATCTGCGATAAGGTTGACCCTGGTATAAAGTCTGGAGTCTGGAGAAGCCTCGTCTTGTCATCTACTCTAGTCCAATTGCAGTCATGGAGCCTCAACCCTGGGAAGATCTGGAGAAGCCCACCGATCCCTTGCGCACCGTCAAGGATTTGGCTGCGGGCGCTGCGGGTGGTATCGCTCAGGTTCTTCTGGGTATGTGCGCTGTGCGGGACATGGCCATTGCTTTGTTCCCAGCGTCCTATATGTTCCAATTCATGTAACAAATGGCTAATGCTCGTCTAGGTCAACCTTTTGGTTTGTGAAAATCATTGTACATATCCAATGACGCACCTCTAACTAAACCCCGCAGATATCGTCAAGGTCCGCTTGCAGACCACCAGCCAGTACAAGAGTGCCCTAGATGGCGCTACTCAGATCTTCAAGAAGGAGGGTCCTCTTGCTTTCTACAAGGGAACTCTGACTCCTTTGATTGGTATCGGTGCCTGCGTAAGTCTCAATGCGACCAATTCTATGCCAATGCCCCTCTAATACCCGCGGCAGGTGAGTGTTCAGTTCGGCGCATTCCACGAGGCGCGTCGTCGCCTCGAGGAGCTGAACAAGAAGAAGTATGCCGATTCGGCCCTCTCTTACACACAGTATTTCATGGCTGGTTCGTTCGCCGGTGTCACCAACTCGGTGCTGTCGAACCCGATCGAGCACGTGCGTATCCGTCTGCAGGCGCAGCCGCACGGCGCCGGCCGCCTCTACTCTGGCCCCATTGACTGCGTTAAGAAGCTGTCCGCCCATCAGGGCTTCTTGAATGGTGTCTTCCGAGGCCAGGCTGTTACCATTCTGCGTGAGGCTACCGCTTACGGATCGTGGTTCATGGCCTTTGAGTACATGATGAACCAGGATGCTAAGCGCAACAATATCAAGCGTGACGATATCTCCGCTCTCAAGGTCGCTACATATGGTGGTCTGGCCGGTGAGGCCCTTTGGATTACTAGCTACCCGTTCGATGTTGTCAAGAGTAAGATGCAGACTGATGGCTTCGGCGAGAACATGAAGTACAACAGTATGCGTGACTGCTTCAAGAAGGTCTACGCCGCGGAGGGCTTTGGTGGCTTCTGGAAGGGTATTGGTCCTACCTTGCTCAGAGCTATGCCTGTCTCTGCCGGTACTTTCGTCGTGTATGTGTCCACTGCCCATTTATATTTATGGATGGTTGCTAATCCCTCGCAGTGTCGAGCTTGCCATGAAAGCCTTGGGATAGACTTCTTGTTCGCGATATATGTGACGAGCTTTCTTTCTTTAGGACTTTATGATATCCAGCACCCGGGCCAGTGACACGGTTGGGAATTGCACAAAATTTGTAACAGGATTCTAGAAGTTATACATACATGTCTGTACCTACGACAGGATAGATTTTTTCCAATTCATGATATTCAACATTTATCATCGTTATAGTGATATATTTCACATTGCCAGGGAAAAGTCGCCAAAGAAGTCCTGCCATGCAGTGGGGAAGTAGAATAGATTCAGACCGGGAAAATCCCACTCTGAAACGAATTGCTCCGGCACGAACCATTGTAAATCGGCCTGCGCATCGAATAATTCCCAGAATGGCGATGTGGCTGTCGATCCGCCAGTGCTGGGCTGCTGGGACTCTTGTAACGCACGACCGTACTTCTCGATACTGACCTTCAGGATCTGGAGATAAATATTACCGGCTCTAGACTGGTTTGTATTCGAACCAGCCTTGCTCAGTTCATCTACAAGCCGATTCCCATGCTCTAGGAGCTCTTGATGTTCTTTATCCCGCTCAGGTAGAAGCCTTGAGAGCTTCAGAAGCAGCAGGAACGAAAAGGCGCATTTGGCCCATACAAAGTCCATTGCGTATTTCAGCTTGGCCAGGTAGAAATCAGGCTCAACGGTAATTATACGGAGATGTCGGCGTGCACTGGCTTTAGCAGCAAGCAGAATGTTCCGCTCGGTGGATGACATGGCGCTAAAATGAGATGGTCATTAGCTCCAAACATAAGGGCAGACTCTAGAGTACGTACGCAACGTTCTCAACGCCCATTGTTCGGAGGGCTTTACAGTTGAGCATCATTTCTGCCCAGCATTTTTGAACCCGTAGCGCAACGAGTAAATACGGTTTCTCTTTTTGTGCCGAGATGGATCCCTCTGTTATGTATAAGCAATGAAATCAAGCACATCGTAGCTGGAGAATTACCAATTATGCGTAGCCAGTCACTAGAAATATTTCAGTATGCGCCGTCAGCGCTTGGGATGGAACACCTACTCGAACCAGAGATCAAGATCAATCTTCATCTCGTGGACAAAGTCGGTTATCGCAAGTCTGTCCAAATTTGTTCCCACAACCAACGTATCATTGATTGTTGCTGAGAATGTGTTAGGTCGACATTCTCGGCGCCAAGAAAAAAGATTATTCTTACCCCTAAGGATGTTAAGCTGTTCGTAAAATCTTCAGCATCTCATGTAAACGATCTCTATCAGGAACTCACGTATTACATACCTCAACCTGAGAAAAGAGACGCAGATCCAAAATTGTCGATGACGGATGGCTCAACAAGATCCGACACCTTCGAGAATTACCTATCAACCGTATACCAGGTGGTTTCCCTCCATCGACACGGAATCTGCGGTTTCACATCAGGTCAGTGCCATGACACCAAAACGAGACTTTGGAAAATCATTACATATGCTCCAAAACCAAAAGTCCAAACCAAGTTCTCGACTTTCTCATCAAGACACGTTCTCTTTCAAAAACATGATCGGGACCGCTGTATATGTCCCCATCATTTTTCATCGCTAGTCGCTCGGTGACCTCTTCAAAAGCTTCATGCAAACCGAGGTCGAGAGCCATTCGAGTAGCAAATGATAGAATGAGCAGACGGTCAGCTGAGTAGCAAGCAACAACGAGCATTGCTTGAACTGATTCAAGACAATTTAATGCTTTATTCTGGATTATGACGTTGATCCATTTTTTTAGCTCTGCGTGGAGCATGTCAGACATTGGACCGCCAGTTCCTGGTGCAAGTAGTGAGAATGTGTGACCTGACGGCAAAGAGAGATATCGATTGACAGTGGAAGCGGGATATACTTACTTGTTTCAACCATGCAGCCAATAGTACAGATGGCATTAAGCAAAATACTGCTCCGAGATCGTATCGAGTCAAATGTGTCGTGTTCAGGGTCGAATATCGGGATATATCTATCCTGCATGTTATAGAAATGTTAGTATAATGCCGAGTCAGGATGATTGAGATAGACCTTACGCAGCCTTGAAAGAACCTGGAATCAGCTTCAATTAGCTATGGTGTGCGTTTGACCAAGGGTGTAGCAATAACTTACGTATTGAAGCAGGAATACGCGCATTCTGGGGTTATCAGCCCTTTATCAATGAAGTCCGCAACGGTCTCCCCTCGAATCTCAAAACAAGAGCGTTTTCGTTTGAGAGATCGCGAATTATCGGCATGAGATGGCTCGTACGCTGACTGCCCCGAAACGCCATTCGGAGATAGCTCCGGCAAGGATCTTTGGTACTCCTGTCCATTCACATACCCGTTGGACTCCACAATAGTAAGAGTAACAGCATTCTCCTGTGGAGGAGCGTGGTGGGAATATGATGAAGTGCAGGCACTCCCGCGACGAGCTTGCTGTTGATACTCCCAGTGCTGTTGCGGGGGCGTAGTCTGCCGGGAATCAATTGCTGAGTGTGCACGGCTTTGTTCTAGTAGCTGTCGTATCTCATCTAATTGTACTCTGAGATGTTGAACCTCAGACTCGACGCCTTCGATTCTCCTAAGACCTTGTTAGTGTTGTATGATGACCGTGAGATGTATTTCATTCTCGTACTCTGCCACTGGATCTTTAGGAATCTCGAAGAAGACGCATTGTTTCTCAAGCTTCTGGCATCTGTATATCAAGTTTTGAATCAGTACCTTGCCAATGCATACTCGTGTATGTCTTACCTTCCACACGGTCTCTCCTCATCGCATCTAACCTGCAACCACCTCAGCCCCCGCCCCACGCACTAACCAGCAATTCAACAACTCACCTTTGAGAGCCGACATGCACTGCAAGCTTTCTATAACAGGGAAAGCGCCGATGTTAGCCAGAAATCCATCGGAAACTAACCAGAACCCCGAGTGCCGCTCAAACGTACCGGGATGCGCTTTTTCCCGAGTGGCGCGGGTATAACATGCAAGGATTCGTCGGCGTCCATGACTTCCTCCGAAAATGCCTTGATCGGCCTTTGCAATGCGCGTCGAGAGAATCCGATAAACCCCAGATGTTTGAAAGAAGGAAAATGCGGGGTCGGGGTTCGGCTATTCCTCCGAGCCGGGTATTGGTAACCCCGGATCTCAACTACCGTATTGTTAACGCGGATTGGAAGAGACCGAATGGGCCCACTTGAGAGGACTCAGTATCGAGAAACGGGAATGGGGGAATTGTACGTTAAATTGGGCGAAAGCTCAATGCATTGAATTCATGATCGTAAGATGGACTATCCAAGATGTTGCACTTCTTGAGCGCGGGTGGGTTAACTGGTCTAGTATACGTAAACAAAATCCTCGTTCTTCATATCCGTCAGGTCCTTAAATGCATTGTCTTGAACAACCTGCTGCACGGGAAGGCCTTCTTTGTCTTCAATAATGGCGCCCACGGCATGCATCGAGTAGTCCACAATTTTGGCTTCTTTGCCCATGGCAACACGCTGCTTCTCGTGTTTCTTATTGAGGAAAAAGAGATATGCCGCATTCAAGCTAGAGGAAGTGTTAGAAAGGGAAAAACGATGCCGAATTGGAGGGCTTACCCGATGAGAGCCACCAAGACGCAGAAAAGGGCAAGGCTATCAAGTAGTTAGTTGGTGACCCAGTGCCAAGGGGTGATAGAAGTGTGCGCTTACTCGGCGGTAAGACCACGGCGATAGAGAGGCTTCTCTTCGGTAGTGTATAGAGTTGGTCCAATGATCTACCGATATGTGAGTGATTTCTATAGTAATTTTGGAGAAAAGTTGGCTCCATACATTACCGACACATTGTCCAACAAGAAGAATACCAGTTGTCACCTTCTTCTTTGTCTCTCCTGCGGTATTTCCAGCAGACCATGAGTAAATCAATGGCGCTTGAAGTAGTCAGTATTGTATCAAGCTCGAGTATAGGACGAATACGCACTAATGCCGGGATAGACGGAGATCTGAACCGAATGATTAGCAAGCGTACAGATTAGGGTTGAAATCTTACTTACAATGTAATATCCAACAAGCAGAGGTCCTTTATGAGCATCGTCATGGGGGATCTTCAGCAGCATAATACAACCTGCGATGGGAGGGATGCAAAGGAGGGCCAACACAGGAGCCTTTTTACCTAAAGCAGTGGCCAACCAGGCACCACCCATGGTGGCAATGAGTTGGACGACGCCAAAGGGCACATTGAGGAGGATAGTATTCAGAGAGCTGAACCCGAAAGACTCGACAATCAAGGGTCCGAAAGTAGTAATACCACCGCTAGGGATACTGCGTCCTTGTCAGCGACGGTAGTATGGCAGAAGTGGTCGCACTTACGAAATTGAGACCATCAATGAAAACCATAGCCAGGACTTCAGGTCCAGACATGCTTCCTTCACGTGTTCCCATTTCCACTCGTGGCTTTCAATGCCCTGCTGGTTCATGCGAAGTCTGCAGATCTATTATGAATCGGGACCCTTCTTGAATCGAATGGGAGAATAAGGTACCTTTCAATGGCAACGAGTTTATCCTCATCATCCAGGAATTTGGCAGTAATCGGCGAGTCTGGCATGAAGACACTATTCAAGGCGTTTTAGTATGTTGAAAAGGGGAAGGCTACAAGACAATGTCTTACAGAACGGCACCGGAAATGCCAACAGTGATCAGACCGAAGAAGAGGAAGATGATCTGGTAAGGCTCGAGGATGGACGACTTAATGTGACCCAGGCCGTAGGTGATCAAGCTTCCAAACTGTCGAGGATGCGTATGTTAGATACTGTCATTCGCTGGCCAGCATATCCGCCCGAAGAGATCTCTCACCATATTGACAACTCCATTCATCGCATACCACGAGCCGAGTCGGACGGGCTGTTCGCGACGACGATACCAAATCTGGGTGACTGCGATGAAAGCCGGGGCTAGGTCGTTTGTCAGAGACTGCTTTCATTCGCGATAGGAGACGACTCACCGATTCCAGCCTCAAAGATACCAAGGAACAATCGGCACACCATCAATCCTGCAAATGTCTCCGCCGCCGTCATACAGGACAGAGCAATGCCCCAAAGAAGAACGGACACTGCCATAAACTTTCCAAGGGGCACTCTCACCAAAAGATAGGCAACCAAGGGTTGGAAGACCAACTGGGCCACGTACACCACTGAGCCCAGCCAGGAGTACATCGATCCATGTAGATGAGCTTTTTCAACCAGGCCAAATACGGAGGCATAAGATAGAGTGGATTTGTCGAGCTGTTGAAGGAAGTAAATGGACAGCAGAATAGGTAGTAGACGCAGGTCGATCTTGCGAAGCACCCGTTTATTGTTCTCGGGGGTCAAGGTTATCGAACCTCCTGCAATTTCGATCAGTTGAATAGCCTGATCCCCCTTGGGGACCGGGTTGGCCGCGACGTCAGGGGCCTGAGGCTGCTCGACCCCGATAGACTCGACATGCTCCAACTGATCCTTTGGCTGGGAATTCTCAGCCTGGGACATAGCTCACGTCGCAAGTATAAACCGAAGATGTTGAAAGAGATGGTCAAGATGAATGAGAAAGAGGAGTCAAAGAAGATCGTCGAACTGCATACACTTGGAAATAGGGCTCGCAGAACCCCGTGGGGAAGGCACGTTTATCTTCCCGGACGAAGGCCGTCGACTGCCGAACTAATGCTGCACGGCGTTTGAACTTTGTTGTTACGCGTCATTCTCATTCCCATATGATTCCCGTGCCATTCATCCGTATGGTCACCCGACCAGGACCAGCACGGCAATTGTTGTCGGACGGACAACTTCCGTCTGAATAGGCCAATCCCTGGCCAAGGAAGAGGGGGGTAAGTGAGATGCAGGCGCGGCGTGAAGCACTGAAGAGGAATAGGGGCCGGTGTTCGGTGGACAGGTCCGACGCATACAGAGCGAAAGAGCGGGAGATAATTTTGAAACCTACCATGTTCGTGTTAGTGTGTCTGGGGCCCCACGTATCCCCAGGTTTGGCTACTTCTCGGTCTTCGGGGATCATCCCCGAGACCCGATTCTATGCCCCACGCCCAGTACGACCATCTCCAAAAACCGTTGCGTCAGGCGCGGGGATCTATGGCACTGGATAGTACAAATATGGCTCCTAGCCAAGTCCTGGGGCCTATCTTCTTTTTGCGAAGCTCAAACAAAGCTATTATCCATCATGCCTCAAAAAGAAGTCTGCCCACGCGGCTACCAACAGGTCTCCTCCACTGAACAGCACGATGCCTCGGTGCATCTGAGGAGTAGCGCAAGCAGCAAGACTCAATTCGACTTCTCCTTCGAGACGGTGCGCCAAAACCTGTTCCGGGTGACTTTCGCCTCCCCCGATCACCCTATCGCTCCCTACCCTAGCGTGCAAAAGCCCGAGACCAACCTCAAGAACGTCAATGTTTCCGTCAAGAGTGATGTCTCCTCTAAAACGATCGAGATTGCCGGTGTCACCGCACGGGTGGAGTGGGAGCACACCCCCGTGGTCTCCCTCTCGTGGACCGGTTCCGAGAAGCCCTTGCACCGCGACCTGCCTCTGCGCTCCTATGTTGCCGACTCGACTGGTGTTGCGAGCTACTCCGTGCATGACCGAACAGCTCTTCATGTTGGCCTGGGAGAGAAGAGTGCCCCGATGGACCTTAGTGGCCGGACTTTCCAACTCTCTGCGACCGATTGCTTCGGATACGACGTCTATAACACAGACCCTCTCTACAAGCACATTCCTCTGTTAGTCAAGGCTACTCCTGAAGGCTGCGTTGCCCTCTTCTCGACTACACATGGCCGGGGCTCTTGGTCTGTCGGTGCCGAGATTGACGGTCTCTGGGGACACTTCAAGGTCTACCGCCAGGACTATGGTGGTCTCGAGCAGTACATGATGGTTGGAAAAAACATCCAGGAAATTGTCCACTCATATGCTGAGCTGGTTGGCTTCCCGCTGCGAGTCCCCCGATGGGCCTACGGTTATATTTCCGGTGGTTACAAGTACACCATGTTGGATGATCCCCCGGCGCATCTGGCCCTGTTGGACTTTGCGGAGAAGCTGAAGGAGCATGGTATTCCCTGCTCTGCTCACCAAATGAGCTCCGGCTATTCAATTGCCCAGGTTGAGCCCAAGGTGCGCAATGTCTTCACATGGAACAACAGCCGCTTCCCTGATCCGGAAGACTGGATCAAGAAGATGCACAAGCACGGTATTCGTTTGATTACCAACATCAAGCCTTTCCTGCTAGCTTCTCATCCTGATTTCCAGAAGTTGATTGACAGCAACGGCTTCTTCAAGGATCCGGAGACAAATGAGCCTGGATATATGCAACTGTGGAGTGCAGGCGGTGCCACTGGCGGAGAAGGCTGCCACATCGATTTCACTTCTAAGGAGGCCTTCGATTGGTGGTACAAGGGCTGCCAATCCCTAAAGGCCGTGGGTATTGATGGCATGTGGAACGATAACAATGAGTACACTCTTCCCAACGATGACTGGAAGCTGTGCCTGGATGATGCTATGGTCTCCGCGGATGCGAAGAAGGCTACGGACAACTCCGTCGGATCTTGGGGTCGTGCCATGCACACTGAGCTGATGGGCAAGTCTTCCCATGACGCTCTTCTGGACATGGAGCCCAAAAACCGTCCTTTCGTTCTCACTCGCAGTGCGACTGCTGGAACTATGCGCTACTCTGCCAGCACCTGGAGTGGAGACAATGTTACTAGCTGGGAGAGCATGAAGGGCGCCAATGCCCTTTCTCTCAACGCCGGTATGTCTCTTCTGCAGTGCGAGGGTCATGACATTGGTGGTTTCGAAGGACCCCAGCCGTCCCCTGAGCTGCTCCTCCGTTGGATCCAGCTGGGCTGTGTCTCCGCTCGCTTCGCAATCAACTGCTTCAAAACTTCCCCCGACAACAACGAGGTCGGCGAGGTCATCGAGCCCTTCATGTACCCCGAGATCACACCTCTTGTCCGTGACACCATCAAGCGCCGCTACGAGATGCTGCCATACATCTACTCCATGGGTCTGGAGAGCCATATGAGCGCCACTCCTCCCCAGCGGTGGATTGGGTGGGGCTACGAGTCCGACCCTGAGGTGTGGACTAAGGTCCTGAAGGCTGGCGATGAGCAATTCTGGTTCGGTGATTCCATCCTAGTCGGTGGTGTTTACAAGGCCGGTGTAACTGTGGCAAACGTCTATCTCCCCCGTAAGACTAGCGATCAGTTTGATTACGGATACGTGAACATGAACGCGCCATATAACTACCTCGCCTCCGGCCAGTGGGCCGAAATCACCTCCGAGTGGCGCGAGAGCATTCCTCTCATCGCCAAGGTCGGTGGTGCCATCCCCGTCGGCAAGAATGTGCACACCCGCGTGCCTGGCGATGATACCGATGCCTCGCAGGGCGTTGAGGAGCTTGATGATTACCGTGGTGTCGAGGTCTTCCCTCCTCAGGGTACATCGCATGGCAACGTCTTTTCGAATACCTGGTACGAAGACGATGGTATCTCCCAGAAGCCTGCCACCTCTAGCTACACTCTTATCTATAGCTCTACTGATGAGAAAGTCCTCATTGACTTCACTCGGGATGAGAAGAGTGGTTTCAAGCCTGCTTGGAAGGAACTTGATATCATTCTGCACAATGGTGATGAGCGCCGTGTTTTCAGCAACTCGGGCCAGGAGGTTGTTGCTAAGGGTGTTGACTCTCGCGGTCGTAGTGTGTACACTTTGAAGGCTTGAGAGTTGGGGTCTGATGATTTTCCTTTTTTCTAAGATGGTGCCGTTGCATTGGGCTTCGGGATATTTCATGAACATAGATTCGGATACTGTGAATACCTAGATGAATAGATTGATGCCGATTGCTTTCAACCAATATTGAACCTTACTAGGTGGTCATGGAGATCTCCCACCTGTCACCCTCCTCTCTATTGGCAGATGCTTGCCATACCTACGCACGCACAGAACCAAGAACTAGTGAGAGTAGATGCGAATATTTTTGAGAGTATACCAAAGACAACTTGTTAATACACGATGCGATAACACCCACAAGACCTGGAATCATCTATACAATACAGAGTCCGACGCTCGAATGCAAGTCGCGCGGATACAAAAGACCAAAAACAAAGACGACCGCTCCAACGAGCCGGCTCAAACACGCTTCTTCTCCTCGGCACCAGGCAACATACCCGTGAACGGATCCAGACGAAGCTGCTCGGCAGTAATAGGCTTGTAGGTAGTCTTACCCTGCTGAGCAGCCTTAAGGCGTCTCACCTGACCAGCCTCACCAGCACGACCCAGAATACCGGCAATCAGATTCGTAGCGCGGATGCTGTCATCGTTAGCCGGGATGGGATAGGTCACACGAGTAGGATCCGCATCAGTATCGATGATACCAATAGTAGGCACGTTGTTCAATCCACACTCATGCAACATCACCACATTCTCCAGCGGGTTCAAGCAAACCACCAGATCCGGCTTCACAGACGGTCTGTCCGCAAGATCCCGTTTGAACTCAGGCAGTGGCTGATCCTGCGCATTGACAACCATCGTCTCACAGTGTCCGAGAATCTGCTCGCCGTTCGTGAGCGCACCGGGGATCCAGCGCTCGAAAATGTGGTAGCCCCTCGCCAGCTGGGCGGCGCGAACAACGGAGCGCTTCTGGTCCTTACGGGTTCCGGCGAATAGGATGATACCGCCTCGTGCGGCGACTTCCTCGACGACCTTGGCGGCACGGCGGAGGTAGGCGGCTGTTACGTCGAGGGAGATGATGTGCACACCTTCACGGATACCGAAGATGTAGCGCGAGTTCTGGGGGTTCCAGCGCGATGTTGAGTGGCCCAAGTGTGTCCCTGAGGCGAGGAGGAGCTCGAGTGTGATGTCGGAGGGACGGGGTGGGTTGTCGAGTACGGTTTCGGGGTTATAAATTTCTTCGACAACACTGCCAGTTCGGTTGAACTTGCGTCCTGGGAGGAAAGATTCTATTAGATTGGTTTGTTTCAGGGGAAGAGGTGCTGCTCACGTCGGCTTTCCGACATTCCCCAGATTCGGCCCTCACTCCATTGCTCTTGCGGCTGACTTGATGCCCGCATCACTTCATTGAGAGGATTCTCTGATGGAACAATGGTCTCCTTGGGAGGAGTCTGCACTTCAGTAGCAGCTGCTGCTACTGGAGTTTCGAACTCGGTTGATAAAAAGCGTCTGGAGATCGGAGTCTGACGGCTCAGGGCGAGGAGTTGGCGGCCTAATTGGAATGGGAGTTAGCAGGCGTATTCAGTGGATCATACATGACCAATTGGCAACTACTCACTCTGCCGCAACCCAAATTTCCGTACAATCATGTTGGTCGTGGAATCGCAAACCTGGACAGAATGCGTGTTCAGGATGGTCCGCGCGAACTTTTGTCGGGCTTGGCGTTGACATTCGACACCTTGACACCTTGACGCCTTATTTCAATGGTGTCGGCACTAATCATTTTGAGAAACAAGTGCATTGATCTTCCCCCCGCGAGTGGCAAAATGTTTGTTTTCCTACGATAATCTACTTTTCTCCATTTTACATACAAGATTTCAAGATGCGTGTTGGATGATGCAATTCTGATTTAATATGGAGTCACAAAGGATCCACTGTTGACAATGCAAGACTATCATGATACACATGTTCCCAGCCGGGGTAATGGAAAAAGGAGCAAAGAAACACGAGGCGAATCCGGCGAAAGCACACGCATGCCAACCCGTCCCCTGGAAATGAAAACAAGCAAAGGAAATTCATGAACGTAGCGAGGTCATCACGTTTGGGCTAGCAAAGGCAAATCAAGCGAGAAGAAGCGTCTACTTCTTGAAGAATCCGCCGAGCTGGTCCATCATGCCGCTGCCCTGGTTAGAGGGAGGGCCGCCGTAGGGACTACCTTGACCATTGTAGCCGGGAGGGCCGGGACTCTGGTCGTGGTTCTTGTGCTTCTTCATGGCGTCTTCGGCAATGCTACCGATGATAGCTCCACCGATGGTTCCGAGGAAGCCGTGGTTGGCCTTGTGGCCGGCAAATCCACCAGCGGCACCGCCTGCGAGAGCACCGGCAAGACCGCGCTCACCCTCCTGGGCCTCACCGGGGGCACCCTGCTGCTGCTCGTAACCACTGGAGGTTGTTAGTAGATGACGAGATGCGTGTGAGGAAGTCACATACCCCTGGCGGTTCTGGTCCTGACCGTACTGGTGCTGGCCTTGTTGACCGTACTGCTCTTGGCCATACTGGCCCTGGTTGTGCTGCTGGCCCTGGCCACCGTAGTATTCGTTGGAGCCAGACTCGCCCTGGTGATACTGCTGCTGACCGTAGCCCTGCTGCTCGCCGTATTGGGGCTGACCGTAGCCCTGCTGGCCGTAGCCTTGGCCCTGTTGACCATAGCCTTGCTGGCCGTAACCCTGCTGGCCGTAGCCTTGCTGTCCCTGCTGACCGTAGCCTTGCTGGCCATAGCCCTGGTTGTATTGGTCGTATCCGGACATGATGTGAAGAGTGGATGAAAGATGGAAGTGAGATGGGGTTTGAGTGATGATGAGGGATGGAGGGGGGGGAAGAGGGGAACCTTTTTATAAGTGAGATCTCCCGGAGCCACAGGGCTGACGGCACCACCCCCACATGGCAGCGCAAATTACGGAACGCCGAGAGGCGCAGTGATCTGAATGTCGACTTTCAGTATTATTGTGCACCGCCACAAGGCCACCCTTCTCGACTATTCCGGTATATACTGTGCCCAACTGCATGTACTCGATCTGTGGCTATGCACACAGGGCTGAGCAACTTGGATTTCCAGCGAATCTCCGGCTCTCCCGGCCCCTCCTTAAAATAGTAACACGGTACACGATTTCACCGATCTTCGGCTTCCATGATTTTTCGAATGTTCCATGGCGAAAGGGGTAACCGATGCGATACGTAGGCGCCAAGACACCTTGCGCTAAATTCACTTCTCGGCACGCACAAATATTCTCGTTGCCTAGTGCAGGTAATCCAACTTCGGCACCCCCTGCCCCCCCCCCACTTCCGACTGTCCGAGGTGCTGGGTGGCTAAGTCTGAAGATGGGGGAAGTTGCAGTCACATCAGAAGACGCGGACTCGCCGACGTGACGACTGAGTCATGTGGCAATGTGTTGTCATTCTTCTATGTACTTCGAACATCTTGTATCCTCATGTTCGTCTAACGTTCGTCTAGCGTTCGACCATGCTTTAGGACCATAGGACAGTGTAGCACATCGAAAGCGCATCCTTGAGCCATTCTCACTCTATAGCTCCAACCGAGGAGGAACATGCGAGCACTGTATGAAACATACTTCGCACGCGACTAGATCAGGGTCAGCCGCCCGCGGCTGTCACACCATTCTGACTGGTCCGGTGACTGCCGTATTTGACTCGGTCGCTTGATAAAATGCTTAACATTCGGGTATCCATGTCCTATCCATGGTTGTCGCCCGATGTGTTCGCGTCGGGAATATCCTTTTCCCGTGCAGAGCAGAATGAGGTACGGAACGTGCCCAGGTGGCTTTTGGAACCTCACCTTAGAGTCCATAAAGCCGCCTATCATAGACACTTACAGATATGGCGGATCGATGGTCATCGAGTTCTCGTCACTATGTTTCTCGGGCTAGACGCACGCATATATCTCGGGGCAACTGATTCACGCCTAGTCGAGGTCCCCTAGACAACCTTTCGCCTGGGCACTGGAAACCACCGATATCGACCCACAATGAATAAGACAGAGGTCGATAAACCATGTCTTCCTTGTCTTTGAAAGTTCGACTGCTTTGTACGACCGTGATCTTGGGCATACGTTAAAGCAAAGCAAGCTTCTCTTTGAACTGTTCGACTCGGTCTAGAAGTACGGGCTTACACAACGAATCTTCCAGCACCACCGTGAACCCTAATAATTCCCGGGCTCATCATGCCGGGGTAAACAACTCCGGTACCTTCCCACCCTTGTAGTTTATACGGTTAGACCACCGATCTACCTTAATTCACGCGACCCATCATCACCAGAGTGACGTGGCACTATGCCAGCCTCTGGAGATAGCACGTTCGTGAGCTTTAGTAGTGGCCAATAAAATCTATTGGAAGAATAATCACATCACCCTCACTCCCTCGCCCCAGACCCTGATTTCCATGTTTGGCCCATTTGCAGTGCGAATCACAGTCTGGGCTGATCGACAGACGGCAAGGAGCACCTGGTGGATTGCGGGACCAGCTGAATCTTCGCTGGTCCAATCACTTGGACTCATCACAGACTATCTGACGAACTCTACCGAGTAGTTCGTCACCGGGCCATGCAGCTCTCCGGTAACTGACTCTTTTCAGCCCAGATTCCCCATATTGTGGACCATCAGTGCTGAATTCGAGGCGGGTGATCCACCACATAGCGTCTTCCCCTTTCTCAGTCCTGTAAATTTGCACTGACATGAATATGTGTATAAAGAGGAGCGCCGATCGCGCAGCAACGTGCCTTGGAGTTTCCAGTTTCCACTGACCGCGGACGTGTTTTTATCGTGTTACTTCCTATGTTCCAATAAGCACACTAGCCCAGGATGTTCTTCCGTCCGGCATTTCTGTTGCTATGCACGCTGGCCGCCACTTCCGCCAGGGAGCCTCCGGTTGTTTACCTGATCCGTCATGGGGAAAAACCTGCAGACCCGGAGGATCATGGTCTCACGCCAGACGGATGGCGACGAGCGGAGTGTCTTCGTCGAGTGTTTGGAGCCGACTCGGAATACAATATTGGACATATCATGGCACCTACCGTGAAGTGGAGTGAGTCGATCTGATCAGAACCGGGGAGCTCGACTGCGACACGTTAAGATCTCAAACTGACATTTGCGAACGTGGTAGACGGCGAACACCGACGGCCCTATGAGACCGTTGTCCCTCTAGCGCATGATCTCGGGATTGAAATCGACGATCATTGCACCCGAAAGGATCCCGAATGTGTGGCCGCTGCGATCCAGTCCCACGACGGGCCTGGCAACCTATTAATTTCTTGGCGGCATTCCAATTTGAACACGATCCAGGAGCTACTGGGAATTGAACATCTTGTCGATTACCCTAGAGATCGGTAAGTTGAATTTCTTCTCAGACTAGCGTAGGAGCCGGCGGGTTGACGATCAGCGCACTTTTTCCACACGCGCGGGATTGTTTCCCGGTCGGTGATGACGATGCCAAAGCTGGTCACCTTTATTCATCCTGTTCCATACGCTGACTCGTCCAGGTTCGACCTTATTTGGACCATTCCACACCCTTATAATGAAATCACAGAAGTCTACTCTGAGGAGTGTCCTGGGTTGGATGTGAGACCGAGACTGGTGGCTCAGCTGTGATCTGAAATATCCAATAAAAATGAATCTAAATGATTTTCAAGGGCTCTATTCTCAAATGCAGCTTATACTTAATCGAGCTGAAGTGTTCTGCACCAACAGAGCCGCACTAGTTGATTACTACATTGAGGCTGGATGCACTGCCCCGCAGTCCTTAAGAATAGCCAGCTCCCACGGTCTTTGGACATGACCTGAGCTCAACCAAGGTTGAAAGAGTTCTAGACGATTTTCATCCCATCAAAGTACAACCATGGGGGTCCCCCTTCTGGCCTTACCCCAGGAAGTCATTTTGCTCATCACAAGCCAACTGACCAACTCCGATCTGTTCCATCTCCTTCAAGTGAATCACATGCTATACAATCTCTTGATAGCTGACCTCTGCATGCGAGATATCATATCTACCGGTGGCCGGGCTTTACTTTGGTGCGCACAGCGCGGGGCGAGATCTGGGGTTCTGAACATGCTCGAGGCCGGCGCAGACGTGAACTTCAGACCTCACGATCGCTCTACAAGACCAGCGCTCCAGGTTGCCGTGGACAACAAGAACACAGCATTAGTGGAGCTACTTCTGGACAGGGGGGCGAATCCAAATGAGCCTGGATCAGACGGATACGATCCTCGCATCTTGGAAGGAGCCATTCAAAGGTCGGGGAAAGATGATCTTGAAATGATAACGCTACTTTTGGATTACGGGGCCGATCCCAACTTTCGTGGTAACCCTAAAATGTACCCTCCGCTCTATATTGCAACAAGCCTCTGGCATACCAGCAAAATAGCATTGTTACTCGCTCGAGGCGCCGCCATATCTGACCCGGTCTTCACAAAGGCGCAGCACCCGCTACATACTGCGGCATTGCGATCGGAAGCTGGCATGATAAAATTGTTGGTGGATGCTGGCTGTGAAGTGGGTATTCGAGACCTATATGGGAAGACAACTCTTATGCAGGCAGCTGAGCATGCGTCCAAAGAAACCGTGCAAATGCTTTTGGATTTGGGCGCCGATCCCCATCTCAAGCAACCTGATAGAAGCAATGCGTTGTTCGGGGCGCTTTTGAACAAAGACAAAACACAATCTATCGCGATTACTCGGCTCTTGTTGGACCGTGGAGTAGATGTGAGTGCTAGGGATAACAGTCAGCGGACTCCTCTTCTTCATGCTTTGTTCCACTCTGGCTCCGATCTATGTTTGGGAAACATGGACGCGCTGGTAGAATTTGGTGCAGATATCTCTGCACAAGACGAGGAGGGGAGAAGTGTTCTTCACTACGTTGCTAAGCAGGCAAAGCCGGCTGTGGTTAAATGGATTTGTAGTCTTGGCGCTGATGTGAACCGGTGCGACAGCCTTGATGAAACCCCGATATTTTACGTTCTTCAAAGCTCTGCACACTCAAGCAAAGCCGCCACAGTACGGATACTTCTTGATCAAGGCGCCGATGCAAACCATATCAATATGCTTGGACAGACTCCTCTCATGTTCGCTGCAAGCACGTGGTCTGTAGAGTCTGCGCGACTTCTCATTAAACATGGAGCAAATGTGCACTGCAAAGACTTGGAAGGAAAGACACCTTTGCACTGGTTTGCCACTGCAAATTATCCCTCGCCTACTGACGACCCCCAGAGTCTCATTGGACTCTTCATCTCAAGTGGAGTAGAAGTGAACGCACGAACTCCTGCCGGGGTGACCGCACTGTCAATGATCAGTGATCTACGCCCCATAATGAAAAAGCCGAAGAATTTCCTGATCCAAAAAGGTGCCACTACATAAAAGGAATCGGTCCCAATTATCACGCTAGCGGAAAAATCGCCAATGGCCGAAGCTCGGAGGTTTACCAGGATGAATGGGCCCTGCGGCCGAAACCTGGCAACGATCCGACTAGAACAATCAAATCAATCACACAACTTTAAATCAATCTATACCAAGTGAGTACACATCGCGTGGTCGAATCTTGTTCCTATTTCGCGTCAGCACTGGAGAATGACAAGCTTGAATCATAAATGGCTTTGTTGATTACAAGGCGCCACGTATAGTCAAGTATCGGGAATGCCCGTCGGAGGGATACCAAGAGGGGAATGATGAAGCATCTGCTTCACTATATTCTGTTTAGCTAGAAATTTTAGTCATTGATGCTGCTGTCTACCTTCTTTTATACAAAGTGAGAGGTGGGGATTTTGTTTGCGCTCTTCCTGCCACAGGAGTGTGACGCTGGGGTGAACCCAGTCTGGTGTGGATTTCATCTAACCTTCGAAACTCTTTTGCTGTCAAGTCAAGATAACTCTTTTTAATGGCGATGTTCTCGCTGAGACTGTCGCCATGGCTGTCAGTAAACGTTACATCAAGAGCGGGGATCAATAGCCATGCACGCAGAGGCTTGCTATCTCACTTATAAGCACTAGAGCTAAGAGAACTAAAACTATTTTGATATATATGATATAGCCTCATGCGGGCCGTGTGCCTTCTGTGTAACATAAACGGTGGTTTTCCCTTCTCGTTCATTCAAATAAATTGCGATTAGCTTCCAGCTTTTCCGATCTCTTCTTGGCCCTTTAAGTGTGCCCGAGATATCAAGAATCGCTTCTATTCAGCAATCTGACTTCTAGGTAACACAGGATTCTATCGGTTACACATCGTCCAAAATGTTGCTTACACAGCCCGCGAGGAATTTCCGTAATCGATTCATTGGCTGCCTCCAACGTCATTATGCATACTCCATGCTGTGATATGAACCCTTTGCTGATAAGATTAAGTTTATTTCTGCAATCATACTATTTTGGATCTTATGCTCTGAATATGTCGCATAAATAGGTCACTATAGGTAACATGAACCATAACCAGTGGCTTACCTCTCTAAATCACGCGGCTTTCAGTGATAACAGAGACTCTGTGAGTGTGATTGAGTACACAATAGAAAACAACGCCCTCGGGTCTTTTCTGGTCGTCCTTGCGTATAGACACAGGTATCTCCCGAGGAGAGAAGCTAGCCGCGCGAATAGAGAGCGAGCTTCTCTTTAATTTTTAGCCCCTGTGCCTACGAAAATAATTTCAAAAGAATATACTGGCCATTCTGGAGCAATTGAACTCTATTGATATTGGCTGGCTTGACGTGGGCACCCGAAAATATTCCAGACTTGTGATCATAGGTTGTAAGTGAACAACAAGGCTTTGATAGGCCTGGAATGTTGGTAAGGTGTATATCTGCAGTCCATGGGTTTGAGATAAATTAGGATCGACCTTAATGAGACTTTATAGACTTTGAAGGAAAGTCGTTGGGTTGATTTAGGGAGCAGATTCCGCATTTCGAGGCGGAGAAGCGGCAGGATTACCCCACGCGGTACACGCGCGCCTGGCCAAATTGCATCTAACATTTATCCATCATCACGCGTCGCAAGATCATTTTTGATCACCCAACGAATCTCCAAGTATCCAATTGAAGCGATGGCAGCCCGCAGTTTCAATCTCGGCATCATTGCGTGCGGCCAGATGGGCACGGCCATCATAGCCGGAATCCTCAGTCAAGATCTCACAGCCAACGCGCCATGGAACGTGAAACGAATCTTCATCTCAGTCCAGTCTGCAGCATCCGTGTCTCGACTTCAAAATATGCTCGCGCAACACTTATCTCGCGTAACTATTTACCAAGGAGATAACCTGGCAGTTGCGGAGCATTCTCACGTCGTTATCTTGGGATGCAAGCCTGCGCTAATGGAGAGGATCCTGGGTGCGGAAGGTATGGGAGATGCCCTGAATGGAAAGATTCTTATCAGCGTGTTGGCTGGCAAGACCACAGAGATGACTCGAAGGGCAATTAGTGGCTTTGAAGCACCAACTGGTGAAGCTACCCCTCATGTGCATGTTGTGAGGACAATGCCGAATATGGCAGCCCGAGAACACGCTTCTATGACAGTTGTTTCCTCGCCGGAAGACGATTCGGATATTGATGCCGTGAGAGTGACAAGATGGTTGTTCGATCATGTTGGGAAGACACATGAAATCCCGGAATCTTTGTTTGACGTTATTGGGTCACTTGTTGGGTGCTCGGCGGCCATGTTTACAGTGGCGATTGATGGGTTATTAGATCAGAGTGTTGCTAGTGGCCTCGATCGACCGGCTGCTTTGAAATTAGTCACCCAGACACTGTTCGGGCTGGCAAAGCTGCTGGAGGCAGGTAATCACCCATCTGTCTTGCGTGAGGAGATCTCGTCTCCCGGAGGAAGCACCATTCAAGGCCTGATGGAGCTTGAGCGACAGGGGGTTCGCTCAGCTTATGCCTCTGCGCTAAATGTGACGGGTGAGCGGGCGAAATCATTGGGTTCTAAGGAGAAGTGATTCCTTCATCTTTGATGAATGAAGAACACGATGACGAAGAAAATTACTGGGAATATCCAGCATCACTTAGTTATCTACAGCGACCCGATCACTAAGATTCCAAAAGAATAGAGCATACTTTATAAACCAACTTCTTAATTTTGTATTAATGGATGTAGGAACGGAAGTTTTCAAAAAACTTAATTATTTTATCTGTTGAAAGATTAAATGAGATAATGGTTGAAGTATCTCGGGGTATAGTGTATGTTCGTAATTATACAGGCGCTAAGGCATTGCGTTAAGGCATTAAAAGGCGGCATCATGGAGCATTTTCCTCGGTGGTCTTTGCACCGTCTTCAGCGACGACTTGTACTTCATGGCTGTGCTCGAGTTCCGACAGAACGATCCACGTAGGAATGACGCAGAGGAGGGTAATTCCGAAGTTGAGGCCAATGCTGACAAAGTGGTTGCCACCATGCGATTGCATGCTATATCAAAGTTAGCAAAGAATAATATCGTCTTATTTCCAAAAATAACTTACGCCCAAGCAACGGTTTGACCCAAAGCTTCGAATCCTCGCAGAATGCCGCAGTGGTAAGACAATGATGAAATGTCAGTGCTATACTGGCCCACCAGCCAGTAAAGGAATTGTTGAAATGCTTGGCCGCCAAAGGTCCAGAAGAAGACCAAGGCGTAAGACTTTCCGAAGCCGCCCTTGAACCAGTCAAAGACGGGAGATTCGGGAAGGTCGTAGTAGAACTGGTATTGCAAAATTGTAGCCCAGATCCAGGTTCCAGTAAGAATGACGATGATGGTCAAGAACGCGATCCGTGCGCGAGTCTTGATGTAGATTGATTGCCGATCAAGCAGACTGGCAATCAAGAATGAAGAGAAGATACCAGCGAAGTTGGTGAAGAATGATGAGAAGGCGCGAGCACGAACGGTGAAGTAATCGGTCAACCAGGTGCTGAGGAAGCCATTGTAGAAGTAGCTGATGAAGAAAGAGGGCAGGAGCAGGAGCACACGACGTGTGGCAATCAATTTGAAGGCAGCTTTGAACTCGGCAGACCAAGTCTCCTTCTTGTGAACCACGACCAACGTGCGATCCTTGCGCTGCACCTTCTCAGCAGGGCTCAGGCAAAATGCGACGGGCAGACCGAGACACATGATGACGATGAAGACAATATAGGTTCCTTGGCTGATAGTACCCTGTGATGAAGCCTGGGCATTCAGGCCGAGACTGATCGCGCCTCCGACAATAGGCCCAAGAGCCTTGGCTGTTTGCCAAATAGCTATTGTATCAAATAGTTAGCATTCGGTTTTGATCTGTAGAGACCAAATTAGGTATCTTACCGAGATAGAAGGCCCGGTCCGAAGGGCTAGGGTAACCAATAATGATAGCAGCCTCTGCGGCCCAGAAAAATCCAGCTGAGATACCGCATAGCGCGCTGCCGAAGAGCATGAACCAGGTCGTGGGGTGGTAGTTGTTGGTATAAAGACCGGCGCCATAGATAGGATAACCAATCGCGCCAATGACCAAACCATAGCGAAGACCGATACGGTTGTTGATAGCACCAGCCGCAACACACACAACAGCAAACAAGCCGTAGACGAGAGCATTCGCCGCGGATACAGCGTAAGGCTCAGCAGCACCACCAGCCCCAAGGTTGTTCATCGCATCCCACATACCAGGTGCCGTGAACGAGACAGCACTGCAAATGGCGATCTGAAAAGGGATTGATCGCCAGATAGACAGCACGCGACTGTAGCGCGGCGCGTCGACGGTCGTCGACGCACCGTCAATCTCCTGGTTTGAAACCGTTGAAGACATTGCAACGGTGTATAGTGAACCCTGTTGCACAATCTTTCCTCCTTATTCAAAGTCAAGGGAGTGAATGGATTTAAAGGAATCAAAACCACATGGCACCTGCCAAATACAGAAAAATTGCAGATAGGCAATTCAGTGGGGCGAAATTGCGTGCTCGCACCTGGGCAGTTGATGTAAAACTCGGTTCCACCCGAAATTGGCACTGACGAGCCGCAGATTCTGCACGCGACACCCTTGATCTTGATGCCGATGTGACTGCCGAACCTTTTTTCATTTAGATTTGAATTACTTGCTTAATCTGGTCCTTTTGCTCCTGCTCAATCAATTTCCACCATTTGTTTGAACAAAAAAGGCTCTTTGTGTGGACCAGAGAGCTTGGCATCTGGGGAGCTAACAGTTTCAATAAGGTAATGAACGGGACCCGCATACCATTCTGGGACCAATTCGCCCGCGTACATCGACGTCTGCACAGCCATGCAATTTCGCACAATTCAGGCGTCAGACTCCAAATTTTACTTGGCAGGTCTTGGCAGCAAATTATCAATCGCTTTTGCATCAGCTTGAGGACTTACTGTAGATATCGCTTTTCCTTCATGCTCACTGAGACTCTATCTGATTCGGGAGGCGACCTATATTAAGGTTTTTCTTAGTCTCGGTCCCGAACTATTTTCGGCCCGACTGGCAGTCCGACTCTGCAACTAGAGGCTTGATATCGTCCAAGGGAAACTATTCTCACGATGTTCCGATTTCATTAAAGATCGCAGAACCTTCGACAGACTATAGACAATGGTATAATTCCAATCCAGATCGTCACGTGTTGGGCCGGGGTTGAAACAAAAAGGCACAAAGGCACCAATTACTCAAAATAGTCTAGCGCAATCCAGCCAAAAGATCAATGGGCGGTAGACGATGAATTCTGTGATGAGATACCGTCTGGGTTTTTTATCTGTTCTGTTCGATAAACACGGACGCGGAGGCCTTTGTTGACAACGGACTCTGTGTTTATCGGACAGAAAATTTGGACATCTGGTTCGAATGAGACCGAACTGGAAGAAAATAGTCAATTGTTCCCAGATAATATGTTCATGGAAAAGTCGGTCACCGCGGGTATTCACTACTGCCATGAATGGAATTCGTAATGTTTTCCCAGTCGGCGGGATTCCAGAGATGCTACAATGCCAGAAAACGAGTCAGAGATTCATCATTTCTTTCCATTCCTCGTGGTGATGATGGGGAACTCACCGCCAGTCGACCATTCTGTCGTGCGTAAAGCTCATAATAAATTCATCGACCACGCCATCAATCCTCACCGGGTATGTGCAACTGTTGCCGCAGATGACGAGAAATCTTTGTGTGTAGGAAGAATGAATGATGTAGATGTTACATTTGGATATCGGTAGACGTTTTCATTATCAGTGGATTTGGTCCCAGATTCTGCTAGATAGTACAGGTGCGGCTTTTGGCTTCGCTCAAGTAAAGCGCCATATGAGACGATAGCTTTGATTTCGTTTATGTTATTGATGGCTGGTGTCAAATCTGGGGCTAAAGATGGTGAATAGACTAGATTGGCATGTTAGTAAAGCACCTCATGCGGTTTGCTCTCAGTGGATCATTCTCACCTATCAGACCGTAACAGGACTTTTCGTTGCATTTCTCATGCCTGCTCAGTGCGGCCAAGGCCTGACACAGGCCATTTTCGATTGATTGAAGATTCTCCGACACCTCTATCTCGACAGTGACAAAGCCCTCTTCAACCCACTTTTGGAGCGGCTCCGCGTCCAGTTTCTTTTCCCAATTCCGCTGATCAGGGCTGACAGAGGATCGGATCATTAACATTCCCGGGCCAAATCCATGTCAAGAAAGGGGTGCATGAATGGTCATGCTATGAGAAAGCTTGACCGGTCGGGCATTTGGAAGAGGCATGATTGGAGTTTGGCTTCTTTGGTCTGTGCGAGACCCTTGAAGACAAGGCGAGGAGCAAGAAAGCCAAGGGGTTGGATATCACACAGGTTTGCGTGAGTTCAGCCATTACTATGGTTGACATGTGCATCAAAGCCAACGGAGTCAACTTCACTTTGGGGAATTTCTGTCTAATAGTGTGAGTCTTAACCTTTGGCATAAGCATTTGATTGAGAACAAATATTAACAAGTATAGGCATCAGAGTGTGGTGATTCGGGGCATTACTAGTTCTCGGGGTTTCCACGTTTGCAGGCGAGCCGCGAAAGGACATTAAGGACTCCTTCTAGAACGCATGGATAGTTCTGGCAGATATTGCTCTGGGCAGTCCACAGGCCCAGACTTACTATACTATTCTTATCAGCTTCGCCGAAGCTGTGACCAAATATCAACAGAGAGTGGCCGATGGGATGCACCGTACAGTTTAGCATTATATGGATCGCATTCTGGTCATTGAACCAGCAGCAATCCAGGGTAATGTCCAGGAGGGTCATAATAGTAGCACCTGAGATATTGATAAATGTTGGGAGGATTGTCTGGCTAGCAATAAATACTTACATTCCGAGACTGATCCGCGAACGCTGCTTCAGATACCTGCATTTCACGATTAGCTGTGTGACTGGGCTGGGGATGATATTCAACTATCTGCATACTTTCACCTGGGCGTGAACCGTTTGGCCAGTTATTCTACCCAGTCGAATGAGATCTCAAACGCCAGTCTTGCCTGCTCTAGAACATGCGGCTGCTGGCGTTTCATTCGCCAAGTACCACCCCTTCGGTAGCCCACCACAAGCTGCCCCAAGCCCTTCTTTAGAACCTTTGATTCCTCGACTATCATTCGCCCATGATCATCCTCGTCACAGATGTCGATTAAATGGCTCATTATTTCATGAGGAAGGATCGCCGCGAGAGGTGCTGGAGGGGGCTAGTCACGGACCCCCACACTGTGGCGGTCTCTACGATTAGAAATGCACCACTGCCGTAGGATTGAGTGTACATTTGTATGGGGGTGGGGGTTCTCCGTAAATTGCGCATTATGGGAAGGTTAAGCATACAGTTGTTCATGCTCCTAGCCTTCCACTCTAACGCGCTACATTTTCAACAGATTAAGACTATGCCTACTAGCCTCCATTGATTCGGCGGCCAGATGACTACATTCATCGAAGTCCCGCCACAGTACCTCTATGTTCATCAAGTCAGCTAAAACAGAGTTCATATCCCGCGCGGTGAAGCTAT